TGACACTGCCTGGTTATCTGAAAGTGAATTACTATAAATGGGAATCCACAGGACAAAAAGCACATAATTTATCAGTAATTCGCCTCTTCTGTTCAAAAGGGTGGTGGGGTAAGAATGGGAACGGGGAGAGGACAATTTCATAGTGGTAGGGATATTCTTCTGAGATTTAGGTTAAAAACATTATGTTTTTACAACTGTTTCCATGACTGTTTGTGAGGAAACTGCTGTTCGCTATTGGCTGCTGCTTTTCACCCACAAAATATAATCACTCTACAGTATATTCTGTAAAGCTCTTTGAGATTTAATAATATAATAATAATTGTTGCACTTGATTTAGCACTTTTCACATCTTCTAAACGTCTCAAAGTGCTTCACTGAATATACTGTAAAGTGAATTGACCGTATATTTGTGGGCGAAATGCAGCAGCCAATTGTGCACAGCAATGTCCCACAAACTGTCGTGGATTGAGTGACCAAATTATTATTGATTTTTTTTAAGGATTATTATCCTGGAAAAGCGATCCACCAATCAACTAACAACTGGGTTTCTACTTACTGCTAGGTAAATAGAGGCGTGTGGAGTAAGGAAACATGCCCAAACATTTTGTCCTGCCGGGAATAGAACTCAGGTCTCTTGTTTGCGAGGCGAGTGCTCTTACCACTCAGCTACACGACTCCACATGTCTTGAAGATGTGATAAGGTGCTATATCAAATGCAAGGATTATCATTTTTATTATTATTATTATTGTTATTATTATCAGAGGAATCCAAACTCTGAATATAACTATAATTATACCATACCTGAACATGGCTGATACTGATACTGTACTCTCAAAGTAGGAAAATGTTCCATTTCCTATTTCATCCATGTTGACCATAGTATTCAGAATGAATGGAATGTTGGTGTTAGACGGTGGACAATATCATAGATTGCAGTAGAGATAATGTGAAGTTATTTAGAATTTTTAATTCAGAATTCTAACCTGTTTTTCTTTCTTTATCTTTATCTATGACATATCCTCTTTATGTGATCTTGACCCTTATATTGGTACCTCATGTATTGTCTATAAATAAGCTTGCTTATAGTGTGTGTTTGATGGGAATGTGTTAATTCTTCTCAAACACACCTCCCAGCCAATATGGCTTGCATGAGAAATTCCCATCCTTTGTTTTATCTTTCTTTATTTTCCTTTCCAACCTCCTTGCTTTATCAGAGCTTCAGCCAGGGAGCAATGATTCAAAAGAGCTGGCACTCATTTTTTTTCTACATTCGTACTGAGCAGATGCGCATGAGCCAGTCTTCAATCACTATTTCTACACACAAAGATGTACAGAGCAACAATTCAGTTGAAAGCTAATAGGATTTGTCTCACACATGACTAATTCTCGAACAAATCTGTTACTATTAAGATGGGTATTATTATCAAAAGTATGTCAGTCTCACAAAAGCAATTATATAAAGCTTTGCATGCAACTGTCCAACAGTGCTCTGAAACTATAGCCTGCAAGAAAAGTGCTATATAAATATAAGTTGTTGTAACATACACTGAGCATTTTCATCCTATACATTATGTATAATTTGTTTAATTTTTGGTTACAGTAATTGGATCTTTGATATAATAAAATAATGCTGTATTCCATTAAGCAGGTAAGGTAGTTTGTTATCTGCTGAGTCATCACTTCTCAGATTGCTACTGGGCAGTTACACTGGATATAATACAGCCAAGAATTGATCGTTGACAAATGGATTTAAAAGATAGAATTCAGGCCAAAATTGAAGGAAACATTAAATTGTTGAAGATAAACTAAATCTATTTTTTTTTAAATGAAAATAATAATCAACAGTGAAGCAAAATGACAACATTTACCCGATAAATGAAATATATTTTTTTCTTGTACAGTCGCAAATTTGACAAACCAGCAGTAATTGGAGTTATAACAGGAGAGCCTATCCCTACACTGTGATGTGGCACTGTGCAAAGCACAACTACGGGCCTTCATTGAAAAATAAATAACAGAAATCTGCTTTTACTATAATTCAATCATGCTAATTGCTAAAGGGTCTTGCTCTAAATCACACAGCACTCTGGCTCTGGAAGTAGCTGAGGTTTTGATAAATACTATTCTGCATCAGTATACAAAGCAGCTTTCAATATATTACAATAAATTATGACTCAGTAGAGATGATACCTAATGTTTCTATTTTAACATAGTTTATGTCTTATTCCAAAAGTGTATTTGTAGAAATAATACGAAGCAGAAACACTGATGATTTGTATCTAAATACTGCCCTTACATCTCTGATATTCAAACCTCGTTCCTTTAGAAAATTTTGCTTTGATTATTTCTGATAAGTGTTGAGGGTCTCAAATGCATATGCTTGGGCAAATCCTTTCTCAGTGAAAGTGAACACATTATAAGTTCTCAGCAATAAATTACACACCATCAGCAGTAGTAAGTAAAACATCTTATCCAATCCTTAAAACAAATCTTGGGAATAATCTACAAAAGAATCTCCTTGTAATGCTGTGAGTTTTATAGTTACACTCTCCAGAGGTGAAATAGATTCAATCGATCACATATTATCAGCATGAAAAGCAGCACAATGTTTCCTCCTGTTGCGACTGCTTGTTCATGCAAGTGAGAGAAACCTTCTGTGGCCTTCATTTACACTAGCTCTGGTGAGGGTGAGATGGCAAGCTGATTAATAGTCCAAGCTGAAGATAAGACAGGTGGAAAAGGATGCAGACTATGGCAGTTCCCCAGATACACATACGTCTGATAAATGAGATGGACAAATGGCATTTGTGGTAGTACTGAGCAGCAAAAGCTCTTTGTGGACACACACACACATACTTATTGGAGGAGCAAGGAAAGGGGAGAGGGAATCTCAAACAGCACACTTACTTATTTTTTTATCTGTTGAATTGGAAAATCAATGCTTTTGTCAATTCAACATGCAAGAGCTGTGCGTGAATTAAACGAATAACAGGATATATAATCTTTCTAAATCTTGTGCTGACGCTTCATTTTTGTTGCTGTCTATGGTGTACAGAACACTCCTGAGGTTATTTCAGAAGCTCTGGCTTTGATATGGTTTTACACAAAGTACAAAAAAACACAATGCTTTCATATTTTAGCCACTCAAAATCATTTGATACACAGAAAAACACTGAAAGCACACAGTAAAGCGAAAAATTGTAGAAAAGATTTTCCTGATCTAATTTGTAGGTGAACGCAGCTGTCAATTTGCACACAGCAATGTCGCACAAACAGTCGCAAATTAATTTAAGGATTCTTTTTAATTGTTACTAAAAGGGGTCCCAACAGAAACCTTTAATAACATTGAAAAATTTAACAGTAGTTGGAGTTAATTCGCTCATGAGCAGAGCTATCTTCCGTTCAGACTGTTTCAGCAAAATAAACAGGGCATAAACATAATGAATATTACAGTAGTATTCACACGAAACAGTGGTAGGTTCCCCAGTGGCTTAGCCTCTGCTAAATGTGGAATCTGACTCATGATAAGGCTCCAGTTGATTCATTGCTGGTCTACAATGAGCCACTGTAGTTCACCTCAGCCAGAGTGTTATAAATGGCCTCAATGCTCTACGCCTGGGGAACGGAGGAATATGGATCTGTCTGCATGTATGTGCATTTCAACAACAACAACAACTTGCATTTATATAGCGTCCTTCACGCGGGGTTGTGTCCTAGAGCGCGTGAGAACAAGAACAGGGGAAGTTTCAAATGAGAAGAGGATTGTGCTAGGCTGTAAGGTCTCACTGAAGGAAGGTCTACCTTCCGTCACATAGTAGATTCTTAGATCTCCATTCTTCAAACCTCAGTGCTCAAGAACATAAAGAACATAAGAAATAGGAGCAGGAGTAGCCCATTCGGCCCCTTGAACTGCCCTGCAATTTAATAAGATCATGGCTGATCTACTAACCTAATTCCATTTTTCCGCCTTAGCCCCATATCCCTTAATCCCTATAGTTTTTAAAAAGACCTTCTGATATTAGATGCATGACAGCATCTTATACCCCTTGGGGAGCAGTCAAAGATGTTATCAATTGATCATGTAGGGTGGCGTGTTCGTAAATATTTTGTCTTTATAGCACTATAATATGTGTCATTTACCTCAAATTGTTCAGGTTGTTGGTTATGATTTTTTACCCAATAGTTTTAATATTGGGCATTGGATTGCTTTTCAGTTTGGTCACTTAGCACCTACACCAAGTGCTCATTAGTTTACCTGAGATTGGGACCGCCCCAGAGTGAAGTTCCCTCTGCTTTGCCTCAGCAATTCAGCATAGTCAGGACTTCAACAACTCCCTCAACTGAACCAATGTGATCCTCCCAACCTTCCCCTCCAATCTCCAGGACACATGAACATTAAAACATCTGCTTTGTGGTGTGAATAATAATAATAATAATAATAATCCTTGCATTTGATATAGCACCTTATCACGTCTTCGAGGCGTCTCAAAGCATTTCACAGAATATACTGTAAAGTGAATTGACCGTATGTTTTGTGGGAGAAATGTTGGTAGGATACTGAGTAAGGATTCACATGATGGAATGAATCTGGTGAGTAATAACCTTCAGGGAGGGAGACTTTCATCCCATCATGTCTTGAATTAAAACTTAGCCCCGGGAATGAAAAGCCAATATTCTATTTCACTGCACCCCCTGCTTGAATTTCTATGAATATTTCATCAGAAATGATTTTTATTTCGAAAGCTGTCAACATTTTTTTTTACATTTTTTTACATTTATTTTTATATATAGATATATATATTAAAAAAAAGGGAGAAGCAGAATTTGCAAGAAGGACAGGTCAGCTTCCCATTTAGTCCTGAAAAAATGCAGAGAATGTTATAATAGAAAGCATTGCTGCTTTAAACGCAGAGCAGTTGGTGCATATCCTGAAGGGTGCAGTGTGGAGTGAGCACAGACTGACTGTATTCAGTAACGTGGTTGCTTCAGATTGCTCATCATGTCCCACTGCAGTCTATGTGTTTGTATCCTCTTATTTGAACTTTCAACGCGGAGTTTGTTCCTCAGCGTTGTTAATGAAGATTCATTGCATTCGAAACTAAATGCACCGCCTAATAACACCAGCAACCACCTGAACCCAGGGATCAGCGAAGGTTCGGACTCTAAACCCACCACCAGTTTTGAAGGGAAAGGCAATGGGAGTCAACTGAAGGTCTTCTCTCTGGATTACTCTTACGTGCAGATTCCTTTTGAAATAACACTATGGATTATGTTAGCATCACTGGCCAAAATCGGTAAGATTGCAATTACTTGTAGTTGTATTTGAATGCTGCTGATCGTTTGAGAACTTCGCTCCTGATTTACAAAAATGATTTGACACGTTATTCTTGCCTTCCTTATGGCAGTGGCTGCATCAGCTCTTCCAACGTTCAATGTTGTCTTTGGGTTTTCTTTGACAATGCAGTAGGTTCACGTTGTTTGTTTAAATCAGTCAATAAGCATTCGTTCTCACAGATCGCCTTTTAATGTTTGTTGATGTGTGTTCTGATTATGGACGAATTAAGAATATATTCTTAAGCATATATTCTTAATTCCTAGGAATTGAGAGTATATTATCTAACTTTTTGAGACAGTTTACCAATTCCACCAATTCTCATTTTAAACTCGTTGGACTTATTTTATATTCTTATGTTTGCTAAGATGACCCCAGAATCATATTAAAATGATATTTGAAACTTCAGTGCTTGAATTGCAAAAGGTTGCACACTTTCAGAAGCATCTCCATTTGTTTATTTCCCATGAGTTTGTAAAGTGACATCTCTGCCATATCACGTTCTCATCAAAATGATAATAATTCATATCTGACTGACTGTTGCCTTCCTTCACTTTTTCCCACACATTCGGTGTTTGGTGGAATATATAACAATAGTGGTAGCTTTATTCATTTAACTAAGTTTGTTTGGTACCTGTCAGCTAAGTTATCTGAAATATTAATTATCCAGAACAACTTCCATTTTTGATAAGATAGATTACTGCTTTCATCTTGATTGGACAACAGAACCCCACATCCTGCACTCAGATCATCATGCTGCAGTAGAAAATTGGTCAAATTGTATTCTGCAATGAATAATCTCTTATCCATTGCCAAGACCCTGCCATTGCCTCATTTTGCTTGGATATAAGAATTGATGCCAGAGTTTCTGAACTTCACTGAATGAATGTCATATGAGCATTATCAGTATTAAGATAACTTCATGTTAACATTGGGGTTACTATTGCAGGCTTTTCTTCCGATCTGTATTCAAACCCTATATCTCTCGTGATCTGCCTGTCTCCTTCAAGTTCATTCTGACATGAATCATTCCAATTCAAAACATCTCAAAAGATCACATTTGCCTCAATTCCAGTTAATATGAACAAAATGTCAAAATTTAAACCCAGTGTACTGTTCTTCAATAGTAAATACAGGCTCAGAACCTAATGGCTCAGAACCTAATGAAAATATTCCTTCTGATTCTAATTCTAGCAACTAGATCTCTGGTATGGTATCCGTATGAAATTAACCCGTCTTCTTATTCCTAATATTTGGAGTGTACTACGATTGACCCAGAAATTGCCTACTTCTAACATTTGCCTTCCACCATGTTTGTTGTATTACAGCAATTCAATTGTAAAACATGGCCAGATTTGAGCTGTGGCCATTTTCAGGTTTACATTATTAACTTGTCCAGGTTTGTTGTTACCATTATTTCCCACAAGGCTTGGGTTTGACAATAAGCTGTATCTATTTATGCTATTGATTCATCTCATGGCAGAGTTCTAACAACCATTCTGATCTCACGCAGTGAGCACAGATTGAGTTTCTAATTTTGTCTGGGCTGTTGGATCTGAATGAGTTTATACTCAGTGCCTAATCATAACAATGCACAGGATGGTGTGGCTTGGCTTTGAAATATCTGATTAAATTGTCAAATTGTAGTTCCCACAACGCTTGCTCCAGCTTACAGAGCAAGAACATAACTGTGTTGCCGAATTTATTTTCTTTCAAATTCATCAGTGCCATTGATTTTCAGGTACCTCCTGGTATGTTCATTAAAATATAACTTGCCATAACGTTTAAATCAATTGTGCATGATCGGCTGCCTCATTTCACCCTCAATATACAGTCAATTTACTTTACAGTATATTCTGTGAAGGGCACAGTATCAATTGCAAGGATTATTATTATTTTTTTTCACCAATGCAATGTCAGATACTCCCATTAGCCATTGTTGGGTTGGATAGTTTGGTTAGGTTAGGGTTTAGTGCTTGATCTGCTCTGCTACTGATCACATTTTTTAAAAACAATATCTTTGGGATTACTGCAGATTGTTTTAATCTTGTCTTCTGTCAGAAGTTTATATTTTGAGAAGGGTTATAGATAGAATAAATTAAACTGAGGGACGTGTTACTTCTGAGATATTATGAAAATTACAGAATTCAGGATCCTTTTTCAGACTCTTTAAAATACTGAAAGGGTTTAGTTTGCTAAGTGGAAAAATTGTTTAAAGCATGAACTTATGATCTGGACATGCTAAATTAGCCAGTAGCAGTTATTTAAACTAGAAGATATAAAATCTGAGTCTGAGTAACCATTCAAATACATTTGCCAATTTCATTTAATGCAAGCTCAGCAATGAGAAAATATTCTTCAGCTGTAAGCTAAATTGAGCGTTCATCATTCTAAAACTTCCAGATAATGCATGAATTAATCACATTTCTCATAGTTGATGTTTTAGGTTTGGTGTTATGTGACCATTTTCTCTGAATTGCTCGTATACATCTTGTCCAGAAATGTTATTATGTCTCAGATGTACATTAGGCTGAGATCTAGAATTTTGTGACTGGATTCCTCTTTACACGAATGCAATTTTGTAGTAGTAGAAATTGAGGTTAGACTGCTGGTAGTGAGTACTATCTAAGTTCACAATAACTACTTGCCAGGCAATATACAACAGAAGAGTGTTATATTGTAATGAAATGATGAGTCATGTACTCACTTACCTTTCTGTTGAAAGAGCATTATTGGGGCTTCCAGCTAGTTTCATGATTCTACTGTTGAGATGGCAGAAACATATCCATAAGTTTTTTCTGACAGTACAATGAACAGAATAATGTGAAGATCTCTACTGATTTCAAGAAGCTCAGGGGCTCAATGTTGCATCTTCAGCAATAGCCTGGTATTTGTAAGCTAACATAGATCATTCTTCGCAGGTCAGCTACTAGTTTCGATCACAGATTTAAGGGTTAGAGAGTAAACAGACAAGAATCGTTTCTAATAATAATAATAATCATTTTTGCATTTGATTTAATGCCTTAACACGTTGTTGAGCTGTCTCAAAGTACTTCACAGAATACATTGCTAAAGTGGATTGACTGTGTATTTTGTGGGCGAAATGTGACAACCAATTGTGCGCAGCAGTGTCCCACAAACAGTCATTGATTGAGTGACAAAGTTTTTTTTGGTGGGGGGGAAGGATTATTGCTTCCGAATGCATTAAACCTTGAAAAGAGAAGCAAAAGGTACAAAATTAAAAATAACTTACCTGTTTATCTCAATGTCCTGGATGATTGACAGATTTAAGTAGTTATTTCTGTTTGTTTGTTTATTGAAAATCAGCTATAGACGTTTATTTTCACACCCATTTAGAAAGTTGCATTTGGGATGTGAACTCCTCATTTATAACAGTACCCGTGCTTCGTTCCCCCTAAACAATACACAGTCACTACACTACAGTAAATCTTGTGAAGTACTTTGAAATATTTCAATAATATGATAAAGGCACTATATCAGGCACAAGGATTATTATTAGTTAGTGTCATTAACAAAACTTGGTGATTTAAATAATGTTCGCTTTGCAGGTTTTTTAAATTGTAAATAATACTGATTTTCCTTTCTTTAATCCCTATTCAGGATTTCATCTCTATATCAAGCTGTCCAAAATTGTACCAGAAAGCTGCCTATTAATAATTGTGGGCCTTATAATGGGAGGAATAATCTATGGAGTGAATGAGAGCCAGGCACCTGTTATGAGCACAGATGTATTTTTCCTTTACCTGCTTCCACCAATAGTACTTGACGCTGGCTATTTCATGCCAAGTAGACCCTTCTTCGAGAACATTGGAACCATCCTTTGGTACGCAGTGGTGGGAACTATGTGGAATGTTTTTGGAATTGGTCTGTCTCTATATGGGATTTGTCAGATTGAGTCATTTGGCCTGCAGGATATTTCCCTGCTCTATAATTTGCTGTTTGGCAGCTTGATTGCAGCTGTGGATCCTGTAGCTGTTCTTTCGGTGTTTGAAGAGATTCATGTGAATGAACAGCTTCATATTCTGGTGTTTGGTGAATCATTGCTCAATGATGCCGTTACTGTGGTAAGTAATGTTACAGCAAGTTTACTGAATGATGCTTTGCAGCATCATTCCATATCTAAATACGTAATACAGTATGTCTTTCATCACTGTTTGTACTTGCATTACATTTTCTATTCATTATCCGGAAAGGCTTACAATTTTCTTTATCCATATCCATGTCCGTGTCAAAATTGTTGGTCCTTTCTGTTGTGCAAAAGCTGTTAAAGCCCAGAACATTGAGACATTCCAGTACATAACTGACGTGGATCAAAACATTCTAATCCTATTTTCATTATGGAATATGATAAGTTTATAATGACGGTAGTTTATATATTTGTGTTAAGAAGCCCAGCTCTAATGTCATTGCAAGTATTCAGTCATTTTGTGATTCTTTAAACCATTTGTTTGTCTAATTTTGACTTCCTGGAAGCAAGATAAAGAGATAGCTCATTAGGACATTCAAAGAAAGCATCATGTTCCTTGTTGCGCACTTAGTGTACAATTCAATTGTGGTAGTTGGCAAGCTTTGGGCAATAATAGAATGCAATGGTTGTTGAGAACACAATGTTCCTTTACACGGTTAACAACAGTGCATTGTTGGCAGCGTTAATGTAGAAATAGTGAAAAACAATATAAAATTCTGTATCTTTCGAATGAACTTTCATACTGTGTTTTTCATGAATCTAAAAGGAGTTTACCATTAAAAGCTAAGTTTGTATGTGCACAACATCATATTAAGATACACATATTCAGGATTCAAGTGTTGTCTGCAAATTTACCATCAGCCAATTTAAAAATGCTCAAATTGAATTTTCTGCCAATTTAATTTGTATTAAATATAAATATAGGATTTGTATATCAAATGAGTCATAGCTAAGAACATTATACCTGCATGCCTCCAAATTAATTTAGAGGAAATTAAAAAGTTAGAGAGTAGCTCACATTGGCAGAAATGTTTTTGATACATTATTTGAAAGTGGATGATATTGTCAGTATGTGGTTAAAATACTTTCAATGTTATAATGCTTTCATTTTATTCCAGTCTGAAATATACATTCTTTTTAAATAATTAATGTTGCACACAGTTCCATGACAACAGGTAAAGACTACCTGAACTTGACCAAGCAAGTCACATCTGAGCAGCAGTGATCTCAATTGAGATTGTCTGGAGAAAAAGCAATTTACCATACAATCTAAAGCGAGAAAGGCAGGTAAATTGAAAGAGAGAGAGGAAGGGGAGCAAATGAAACAGGGTAGAAACAGTGATAATCCAAAACAACAAACGGAAAGCAAAAAATGCCAGGAAAGTATCACTGCATAATTGAATAGTATAATTAATACGTACCACATGGCAAGCAGAGAAAAACGGATAAACAAAAGCGTACGTTCTATGACACTAAGTGTTTTACCTCTATAAAACAGAGACGTTGAGGATGAATTCAAGCCCTAGCAAGACTGCAACAAAAAATACAAGTTATATTTATCACTATATCAAATACAAGGATTCTTCTTCTTCTTTTTCTGATTATTATTATTTTATTATTATTAGGGGAGTAACAGAAATAGCACCAATGACAAATCACCTCCATCAAATCATCTGTTGAAAATTAATCTGTAGCCACACTATTATGAGCATTAGAAGATGTCTCACAAGATGGGACTTTGAGGAAACCTCTGGTGAGGAATTTGTGAGGAATATAGTAATAATACTCATCTTTGCATTTGATATAGCCCCGTATCATGTTTTTGAGACGTCTCAAAGAGCTTAGCAGTCCCAAATAGTATTAGTCCTAATACCCAGAGACATTTTATATGGTCGGTCTCTCCAGCATGGCAATTCAAAAGAAAATAGTTGACATGGAATGTCATATTTAAACAATGGAAGAACAGTACAAGTTATTAGTATTATATAATTTCAGCTTTTCCAATTCTGCCTTTGAAAGAGGGGACATTAATAGGTGTGATTTTCCCATTCCTTCTTTTAATGATCACAGAAGGCTACTGGGGCTGAGAGTGCAATGAATCCAACAGTAACAGCATGGAGCATAATGATATCAGTGCAATAAAAGGTTAACCCAAAATTCACCACTATTATGGAAATCAATGCAATCTGTTTAATTGGAGTTTGATGTATTTGAAAATTCAAGGTCATTCCACTAGGTGCATCAAATGCAACAGGACAAATGTTCTATTAATGTGCAGTTGGCATATGTTTCCAAGAACATTATTGCCAAGTCTGCATCCATTACACAAACTCTTCTATCTTTGCCAATTCTTTACAATTGGGTGATGGATTGATGTAAATACACCATGACTTCAGCTGACATTAGGATCATCTACAGATGTTCAGAGGCCTAACATTTTTCTTGGTCTTAGTCTTAAGACCAATGTCTTGACATTCAAGATCACGCTGAATTTGAAAACACTTACAAGTTACTGTATCAGTCTGTGTTGCAAGTTCCACAACATGGAAATCTCTCCTGAAAATACAGTCAATCTGTCCGAGGACAACAATGACAGATGGATGGTAGAAACAGATAATGAACAAAGACATGTGACCAGGAGTGACATATGGTAACACATTTGTGATAGCTTTATATACTTCACTATTGATGGGATGCATAGTGTGTGGCACAGTTGGCGATGTGATGGCAGCCATATTCTGTCATTGGACCATGGGGTGTCTTTTAACTTTGGTATTTACAGCACAGGAGTAGGGCAGGGACTGAGTCTGCCCCTGCTGACTTCTTGAAGTGTCACGTTCCTCAGTACTCTCAACCTTGTTAGGCAGCAAGAGAGCAGAGTCCTGATCTTCCTCGAAGCAAGTTGTATGATATTTTCCGACCTCCCCTCCCCCCTTTCTGATTGCTCAGAATATGTGGTTTGTTACTGAAGATTCCTCTCATTCATACAATGGATATACTATTTATATGGAAATATTACGAGTGCAATATTGGATGCATATGTTGTAGATCATCCTATCTGTAAAGTAAAACAAAGTAGCTAATAAAACAATACAATTTCATAGTGTTGCTTTTTTGTTTTCAATTGCAGGTTCTGTACAAACTATTTGAGACTTTCTGCACGATGCCCTCGATTGGAACGTGGGATATTTTTGCTGGAATTGTTAAATTTTTTCTCGTGGGATTTGGAGGCTTAATAGTAGGCGTTGTTTATGGAATCATTGCATCGCTAACCACACGCTTCACTGAGCACATCCGTGTCATCGAGCCTCTCTTCGTCTTCCTGTACAGCTATCTGTCATACCTGACTGCAGAAATGTTTCATTTCTCTGGTATTGTGGCGTAAGTATATCAACTAAAGCTCTGATTTTAAGATTAGGAACCTTTCCAAAGGTCTCCACAATCACTTACAATGTAATAGTGATAAGCTGAATTTATCACGGAATTCGGACACTTGCGCAAGGATTTTCTACAATTTGCAATAAATAATATAATTTATTATTATTATGATATAGAATCCTTGGCTTTATGTCCAGAGGAATCGACTACAAAAGTAGGGAAGTAATTTTTAATTTATACAAAACTTTCATTAGAAGGAGAACCATATGGAGTTCTTATTCCATGATAGAGGAATGATATTGGTGAGTGAAGTGTAGATTTGCAAGGATGTTACTAGGGATGAGTGGCTACAGCTATCAAGAAACGTTGAGCAGTTTGCAGCTTTTCTGTCTGGAGATGAGACGATTGCGACGGGACCTGATATAGGTGTTTAAGATTATGAAAGGATTTGATAGGGTGAATGTTAGTATTTCCATATAACTACTTTTTGACAAAAAGAGAGTTTAAAAGGAATTTCAGTACACAGAAGGTGGTGAGAATGTGGAACTCACTGATGGAAGCTGTAGTTAAAGCAAACAGCATTGACACATGTTAAAACAATTAATGCTATACTCATAAATACCTGTAAAAATATATCACTACCATAACGGCTCAGTGGGTAAATCCATATACAATAATTATCATATTACGTATTGCATATTTCTTTCCATTGTTTTTTAATGAGCAATGCTCCTGCGATCTAGGGGACTCTGCTGAGATAGCTGATCTCTATTGGGGCAGCAGCGGAAGTGGTGTTGTATTAACCTCATGTCCGAGGGATTTGCTGTACGCTGACACCTGCTGGAAAGACTACATGTAAATATTGATGGGAATATTTTGGCCCAAGCTTTATCTAACTATCAATACTCAAGGTGCAAGGATTGCAAACCTGCGTTTGCAGAGAACTGAAGAGGACCCTTAATATTTAGTATTTTGATTAAGAAAATCAGATGTAGGTAATAATATGAATACATACGATAATCAAAGCTTTCAGTGTTAAACAATTGATGTTGTTGTATTGTGAATTATTTATAATAGCCGTAAATTCATAATCATAATGGCAGGGGCTGGTACAGAATGAGATGTAGTTTAGCTTTATTCCCACATGAGCTCAGATCAATGATAAAAGGAATTTAGCATATTCACATCACTTTTGATCATCGTCAGTGAGCAATAATGGACATTCTAGGACTGATTATTTTTGCAGTTCCATATTTCATGTGTTGAATCATTGCAGTGGTCTATCACCAATCTGTTTCTTTACTAGCGATAGTAGAAGCATTTGGATTATATCAATATAAATATAGAGTCAACAATGGTTCAGAGTGTTGAGGGTATCTGTTTAGTTTAGATTTGTTACATGCATTTTTGCAAAGATAGAGATGCATCAAATACACTTTTGCTGCATTATTCAAGGTTGTTTAATTCTTCTTTTCTGCATTGTGTTGTGAAGGAGTCAAAACTACCCATCCAGGCAAATTTGTTAGCATTTCATTGGCTATTTCATTGATTATTCTGTTATATGTATTTTGCTTATTATTAAATTCAATGCCTATCTAACCAGCTGACATGGATTCCATTCTCTGAACTCATTTGTGTATATGAGAGCAGAAAATAGCACAAAGCGACAAAGAGCATTATGCTCTTGTGTTATCCTAATCTTTTTCATAAAATGCAGCCAGGCCTGAAATTGATCAAGTTATTCCTAATCTGAAATTGATCAAATTATTCCTAATCTGAAATTGATCAAATTATTCCTGCTGTACGATTGTCAACCTGAAATCTTAATTAAAACTTCTAATTGCTGCAACACCTATTAGATTGAACTCAGAGAAAAAATAAATCACATTAATGTACCTCACTGTCACTGAGGAAGAGTGTGTCCATTGCTATTAACCAACTAAATTAGTCATGCCTATTCAAAGTGTAACCAATGGGATTTTCCCTACTGGGATTTTTTTTATTTGCTAAAATGATGAAACACCAGTAGAACACTAACATCCTGATTTCTAGACTAGGCATCTGCTCTCATACAATATTAAATAACCTTAGAAATAAACAAATAACAAGAAAGTAAAAGCAAAATGTTAAGCTGAGGCATCATACAATAACATATATTCACGTATACATTAAATCAATAAATTACAATTAGAAAAGTATTTTTTTTTATGTGAGTTTTATACATAGCCTTTTTAAGAATTAACATCCACATTGTCTGAATACATTGATATTCAAATAATGTGAAACAATTGCATATTTTGCTCCCTGCATTCAAATACTTACAAATATCAGCTTTAGCTTGTTTTTTTTTGACCAAAGGTTTTGATAGACAATGTGCAGTAAAGAAAGCTAAAATGCTTCTGGGAAATTGAATGTAACTAATTTAAGATAATTTTGTTTCAGTGTTTAAAATAAACAGTATAGCTAACATCTAACAATGCCTTCATTTGCAAATACATGACAGCTATAGACAACCCAGACAATTGGAGGTAACACTGCAGGATGTCTTAAATCCTTGAAAATCACGTAGCTATTTTTAACTTCTTATATGTATTCTGTGTGCAAAATATTGTACCATCTACTGACAGCAGGATGGAATAAGTGTCAATGCAGTTTAGTGTGCAAGGTGACAAATGAAGGCATAATATGATTAATGTATTAATGTGTTTCAGGGAATAAAACTGTTTCAGTAGAAAGTTTTCAACACTGGAATATGTTAGTAGGACAATCCACATTGTGCTGGTTAGCATTAGGTAATTATGCTACATTAATGTGGAGACAGAGACTGGTGTCCACACACTAATATAACATCATGAGGTATTTTTATTGTTATGCAACTTAATTCTGGATCTAAGTGAAAAATATTCAGGATGATTGTACAAAGCTACCGAGGATCAATAAAAGGTCATGAGGAAAAGAGAAATTAAGTTCATTCCATTCATCTTTAATGCGCAAGAGAAATTGTTGACACTTTCCTCAGGAGATTTAAAAGAATGGTTGTGTCTATTCAGGAGCAGATGAATTATAGAAGGAACACACTTAATGGACCAATTGGCTTTTTGCCTATTCTGGGTTTTCCTGTTTCTTATCAGGGAGAATGACAGCAGTTTCATTAGTTCTCAGATTTTTTCAATTGTGGTATCTTTGTAATAATGCAGATGTGACAGCTTTTAAACAAAAATTATTTACAGAATCATGCTGCAGTAGCTTTTTTTAAACCTTAATCTAATATATGATTTATAAAAGCCAATGCATTTTGTCTCCTGTTTTGAATAATTCATCAGATTCTACTGAAATTCATCAGGTTCTACTCCAACTCTTTATTTTAGTCTAAACGTTCATAAGTGGAATGTGTTTAATGGTATAGGGCCATTTTGTAGGGCTAAACTCCCATAAGCTGTTGTCTGTTAACTATATGGTATATAGTTTACCTGATAAACACCATTTTTTTTTGCAAGATACAGCATTCTTAAAGATTGAAAAGCACATCTGTTTTATTGGTCCAAAATTCTAATTGTTCAGCAAGTGATCGAAGAACCTATCACAGAGAGAATGGTATTATTGCGATTCAGAATGTTGGTGCCATGTATATACACAAAAGAGTATAAAGTTTATAAAATAGAATTTAGAAAAGCATCAGAAATGAAAAAGCCATATCTAATAGGTATTCCTGATATAGGATCCATCTACTGTGCAGATCAAAAAAATCAAATGCCCTAAGAATAAATGAGCTGGTCATGTAAAGTTCACAGCATGGCTATTTATTCCCTTATAATGAACCCCTTAGTTTAGTAATAATTGATGTGATCTTCTCTCTTTTATATTATATAATATTCCTTGCATTTGATATAGCGCTTTTCACGTCGGGAGGATGTCCCAAAGCGCTTCACAGAATAGACTGTAAAGTGAATTGACTGTATATTTGTGGGCGAACGCGGCAGCCAATTGCGCACAACAATGTCCTACAAACAGTAGTAGATTGAAAATGACCAATATATTATTGTTTTGTTTTTTTGAGGGATTATTATTAGGCGTGTGGAGTAAGGAAACTTGCCCAAGGTTTCGCTCTGCCTGGAATTGAACTCAGGTCTTTCGCTTGCAAAGCGAGTGCTCTAACCACTGAGCTACAGGACTCCACAAAAAAACTTTTGGTTAAAGCTCATGAAAAATGCTTGAGTTGACTCATCAAAATGCAAACTCTGACCTTTGTTCTATTTTCTCTTCTGAGAAAGACAATTTCATAAAGGAAAGATCTTAGTTGGAATATTGATAGTTTAAAATGGTATTCAGAATCTCATTGACTTGTTTTCTTCGAATCATAATTTGAACCTTTTAAATCACAGAACATGGTACCAATACTTTCAGAATGTATATTAGCATAGAAAAGCCCTTTTAATTTACCAAAAGAAATAACTAGTGTAAATGTCACTGATGAAATGCCACGGTTAAAGTTGAGCACAGCTTAATCAAAGCTAGTTGTCTTTGATGAAACACACACTGAGCTTATACACATTGAACTTTGATTTGGTCTGTGTATATAACACCCCCCCCACCCCCCCCCCGCCCCACCTCCCACTCACCCACATTAATTAGATATGATATGCTTTCAAATTCATATTTATTAAGTAAATACTTCAGCACAATACATTCTTCACAAGAACATTTTGCCAGATGCATTTTTGACAAGATAATTATTTCCTGATTATCTTAATATTTGGAATTATTTCCTCTTATTAAACAGGGATGTGTCTTCTGACTTTCTGGCTAGTTTGCAGGGTTTTAAGCAGAAAAAGAGAAGGCATTACATCCAGTTATAATATAGCACTTGTGGACACCAGTTCATCGCTGTCTGGGTATACGTTTCCAGGTAATAGCACAGTAAGTCCCATTCCACTCAACCTGACAATAACGTTTCCTAACCTAAAGCTCAGAGCAGTGCCCTGACTGAAGCAATAAGATTGTTTCCACTTCCTGTATTAGCTAACTATGGCTTGAGTAAGATTTTAACTCAACATTTATTAATGCCAGACTGAATTGAATATTTCAAATTGAATTCTTACAGCCAGTATGCGAAATAAACAGATTTTATGATTTGCCTAAAAAAAGTTCCCATTAAGAGTGCTTCACATTCATTGGTGTATCAGCTTAGATTGTGTGACTTCCAAATCCCGATGTGGGAGCTATAACTTTCTGACTCCGAGGGGAGAGTGCTACCACCGAGCCAGGCTGACACGTAAACTAGATTTCAAAGTGGGTCACCAGAGGGGTTTTTTGGTTGCCAATGATTAATTTTTTGAAAGATATTTACATTAACTGTAGACCACGTTTAATTTGAATCAGTTCTGTTTGTTTGGGAAGTCATGGTTATTCTTAAAACGCTTGATAATTCTATGCAAAATTTGATTTCAGAATTATAGCTTGTTCCATGAGCATGAAACGGTATGTGGAGGCTAATATCTCTCAGAAGTCTCACACTACAATCAAGTACTTCATGAAGATGTGGAGCAGTGTGAGTGAGACCCTCATCTTCATTTTCCTTGGTGTTTCTACTATTGGGGACAACCATGACTGGAGCTGGCCCTATGTATGTTTCACAATGATATTTTGCCTTGCCTGGAGAGCAGTAGGTAATTTGAATTTATTTCCTAACTATTCTAAAATGTATTAAAATGCTTTACACGATTTACTGTAAAGTGTAGTGACTGAACATCCAGGCAAGCATTTTGCAGACAACAGTGTCTCACAAACAGCCAAGTGGATGATCAATTTTATCTTTCACTCTTGCTTCTGAGTAAGATAGTTGTGGGTTCAAGCCCGACATCAAGACTGTGCTCACAACCTAGGCTGACATTGGGAGAATGCTGCAGGTGCCTTCCTTCAGATGAAACATTAAGCCAATGTTTTGTTGCTTGTTTTAGGTTGATGTTAAAGATTCCATAGCACTCTTTGAAAAGAGAAGGGATCACTCCCAGTGCCTTGGTCAAAAATTTCCCCCAAAAATTGATCATTCAGTTGCTGTGTTTCGGCTGCCGTGTTTCGCCCACAAAATTCACTTGACAGAATATCCTGTGAAGCACTTTGAGGCGCCTCAAAGACGCGATAAGCTGCTATATAAAAAGAAGGATTATATTATTAAAAATGTCATCACAGCCCAAACCTGTTATTACCTGCTGTCCACACATTCAAAGCTGCAAATAATGATCAAAGGTTGAGATCCTGGTGTATTTTCACTCCTTAAACTGTGACACTAAGACAAGTCATAACATCCCTTCCTCCCTGGCTGAAATGAGTTTACTTAGCGCACGCCAGGAGTTGAACCTGTCCAGATCTTCTGTGCCTGTAAGGCTAATTACTTACTTGACGATTCACTGAATTCTCTTTATATAAAATTTTGATTTATAAAAAAAACATTCAGTGTAAACTGAGATTTAGCCGCCAAAATTAACACATTTTATTGATTCAATTTTTTTTTACCTGAGGTGTTTCATTACATTTCTATTATCAGTGCTAAGTGAACAATTTTTCATTTCCAGGTGTCATTGTTCTGACATTTATTGTGAACAAATTCCGTGTGAACACAGTCACGAGGAAGGACCAGTTTATTATAGCTATGGTGGATTAAGAGGGGCGATCTGTTTCTCATTAGTATTCTTACTTCCCAACTTTCCACGAAAAAAACTTTTCATCACTGCTACAATAGTAGTTATATTTTTTACAGTGTTTGTTCAGGTAAGCAAGATGTTTGCTGATACCGTCTCTTGTTCATTTCAAAATCCAGTCCACAGTAGTTTTTAAAATTGAAATAATTTTGCACTGACGTAATACGACTGATTCATTAGGAACCTCGATACAGTTGAAATCATAACACTAATATAAAGCATTATCAGAGAAGGCAATGTGATTTTTTTTATACTGGATCAAATCAAGAGTTGCTTTTCCTCTGATGCAAACTCAACAACATCAAGCTCCCATTTTAAAAATTAATGCTTAGGCGAGAAAGCTTGACACCTTGACACACAAACATTTTTATATTGATCCTGATCACCAGTAAAGTATGCATGACATGAAATAAATCCTTAAGGAGTTTTAGTTAGGAGCTTCAACTGCCAAGAAATAAATCAGTCTGTATTTCACAAACAATTTAATTAAAACTAACAAAAAAAGATGATTTGCAAGGATAATTACAGCAAAGTGATAAATACACGTTTCCCGTGATTTCTTTTATAATTAAGTACATTTATGTGTGCTAAATAAAATCAGATATCACATGCTTTATTTTCTCTATTGGCACATGTAAAGTGCATATGAAATTATCAAGAAAGATGACAATGCCAGGGCAGATTTTAGAATATGAAGAAAATATGAAATATTAAAATGAATAAATTGTGAATTTTCACAGCTTTCTTTGACAAGCTTAAGTAAACAGATGTAATATTAAAAGCAACTTAAAGTGGAATATATATATATGATATATGCTCATGATGGACAAAAACTACAGTAATAATACACAATCTTTCACAAGGTATTTTATAAATATTGATTCAGATTTGTACAAATTCCATTCATATCTGGATTTAAGCAAGTATTATATTACCCATTGGTAGCTCTGGAGTAAATTGATAATTTGCTGACATACCAAGGTGCGTAAATTTACCAATGATCAGTGAGGACAAGATGAGGCTACGTTTTGATATCCTTCACGATCAAACAAACATTGGCAGTAACTCTCCAGATTCATGCATGAAGAATGACTGCTCAAGTGAAACACCTAAGAACACCTTGTACCTGTGAATCTGCACTCAGCGTGAGTTAGCATTGTCAGGAGAGGAGTGGAAAAAATTGGAAGTGGTGGAAAAGAGGTTTAAAAACTCAATACACTTTTATCTACAGATTGAGTGATAGACACACATGCACAAAAAACACACTGGCACAGAGAATAGGTTCAATAATTGGCTCGCTGATGGTATACACTATACGCATTACTTTTCAGTAATGTTGCCAATTATGTTTGGTAGAAATTTGTGTTGATTTTCAAATGGACTTGCAATTGGTCTACAAAGAACAAATGGGTTATCTCATTCGATTGAAACTCAGTCAAAGATCAATAATGAGTTTTGTGCCAGCTTTTCTGCTGTGCAAACAGATCTATACTAAAATACACTAGGTAGCTAGTTCATAATAAGATGGAAAATAAGTGCTACCATTATTATGTACACCTTGCCTAAGGTTCATTGATTCATTAGGTGCCTAGCCAGCTGTGTGAAGTGCTTTAGGATGTTCTCCTGGTGGAAAATTAGATCAGATGAGCCATTTTCAACCAAACTAATCTTGTAATCTTGCAAGAGGCACTAGCCATATGAATGTAAATTGCAGTGTATTTGTATTGTACGAAATTTACGTGTTTAATAAGCATGTTGCATTCATTTATATTTTACTGCAGGGAATGACAATTAAACCACTCGTAGAGTTACTGGAAGTTAAAAAAACAAGCAGAACTCCTCCAACTATCAGTGAGCAGATTCACATTCGGGTATGTATGCACCACCTACTGTCTTTGCAGCCCCAGCTTTGTGTTAGTGCATGAGCAGAGCTGTGATGCCTTATTCAATTGCTGTGGATTCATATCTGCTGCACATAATTCTACCTGAATGTATCAGCAGATCTGAAACGTTTTTGGGAAATTGGGTCATGGGAACTTCTTTGCTGGCTAGTGACTAGAAAATAATTTTAAAAGTATAGAATTCAAGTTTAAAAAAAAAGACTGCAGGCTATGTTTCAGAAACTCATCTAACACCATAATGGTGTCATTCATCTCTGAAATGGCTGAGAAAGAAACCATTGTCCAATTTTTTTTGTGTGGGGAGGGTTCTCAGGACTAATCCTATTGTAAATTAAATGACAAGTAATGACCACATATCACTGGTGATACCTATCACATCACATACAGCAAATTAATCCCCTGACTAGTTTTCTTACTGAATACTCTCCTACTTTCAAATGTATTTAGTGATTTGTTTCAGCATAAACTTTGGTCTTTTATGCAACTAAAAAGCAAGAAACCTCCCTCAATGTTGTATCATTGTTGTTAATAAATAGATAATTACAGTCTTTGTTTATTTTGCTTTATTCAGTTTTTGGACCATTTGCTTGCTGGGATAGAAGACATTTGTGGACACTGGGGCCAATATTACTGGAAAGACAAGTATGAAATTCATTTATTTTAGTTAACGGGTGTGCAATTTCCCCAAATGATAGTCATATGTTTAAATAGGTAAGACAATATCATAATGAAGAAAATATTTTTTAACCCGAATAAATATTAAATTATATAAGCTATTCAAGGTGGAGCATTAGAATTATGGATTTATCTCTAACTAATGAAAATGCATCCGTACGTAAGTGCATTCTTAATCTGAATTTCAGTGGGTAGCTACAATAAACGTTGCTCTGAACATGTCCATAATATAATGTATTTGTGCTGATCCTGTCTCTGCGGTATAAAATTGTGGTGGTTTAAGCTTAAAATGCCATATTGTGAGGGAGATAATATGTATTTCATTCTAAACTTTTTAAATTCACTGATTTAAGTTAATACAAGATTATTGTTTTTTCTATTTATTTGGATTGGTTGTTCACCTACAAACTACACAGGCATTACACTTTACAGTAAATGTTGTGAAGCGCTTTGAGATGTACTCCTGATGCGAGATACTATACCAGATACGAGGTTAATAATTATTTTTACTATTATCATTGGAGATGGCACACAGAAGCTATGATGATATCAGCTTGTGGAATCTCTCCTAAAATGTACTTAAAATTTCTTGCAGATTTGAATATTTCAACAATAAATATTTAAATAAGATTCTCATCAGAGAACACCACTTGTCCAAATCCAGCATTGTCATCTTATACCAGAAGCTGGAGAAAAAGCATGCCATTGAGTTAGCTGAGGCTGGACACCTAATTGGTGCACCATCACTTGCATCTCTCCAGTGAGTGACCTAACTTTGCTTTGTTCCTCTTTGTGTTTTCATTGTGAGACAGTTTCTCTACACTTTTCTGTGGTATTTGAAAGCATAATGTTTTTCAGCAGCGTTTAAAAGCACTCAGAGTTTCGAAATGTTCCAGTCCTCTGGAATTGTTCTCCAATGCTCAGAAACAGTATAGATACAACCTGAACTGCTTTCATATTTCTCCTGCACTGAGTTTACGACTGACCTAATTTTCAGTAATTGTGCACAGAGCCATTCACGAATCATGTAGTACCAGATGTGCAAATTGTCAGCTTTTAGCCTGATCTAAACTGTGTGTAGGTGCAACCTTGTGGCTGTGATTCCTGGTTGATTAACGACAGACGAAAACACCCAGTCAGCAGAAGGTGTTATTGATCGTGAATATCGCTAAAAAGAAATTGTAAATAGTGCGGATTTACAAAAAAAGTCTATATTACATATTATGCAGGAATGTATCACCTGTAAATCATCACTGAAATAATTTCCAGTAAAATAATTGGTGTGATTTGTTGTATTTTAGACTTTCCACGCAATGTGATAACTAATAACAATATTTTAAAAAATTTCCTGAAACAGTGACCAGCCATCTCCCACAGTTTCCAAAACTCCAGTTCCTCCAGAACAGCTTGATAACATGCGGAAGCTGCTGATAAGGAATCTTTATCGAATAAGGCAAACGGTATCAAAGTTTTTTCTGTTCTATACTTGTATCTGATGTGTACGGCAAATCAGGTCAAAGAACTGGAGCGTGCTCCAGTCTGCTAGAGATGAGCGATTGTCTCAATGGTATAGTTTTTACCCAAAGGCAAAGAATATATAGAAGAATTGTTTTTGACATTATAACATTCAGCAAGTTGCACTGCCACCTCTGCTCAGAAGATTATTATATAAGTCAAAACAAGAGCTTGACCTCATTCCAGAGCAGTATTGTTTGAACGCTGCATTGCTGATTGCGCACTAAACTGAGGTCTTACCTGCTTTTCATGGTGGCTCAGATGAACATTAAGGATCTGGCGACACTAATTTTAAAGAGCAATAAATTCTTCCGTCTGATATTCCTTCTTCATTCCTAATTCTCAAAAATTGCTCATTTACCTCATTGTTTTTTGTGGGACATTGTTAACAGATTAGCTACCACATTTATCTTCATAACAGTCACTGCACTTCAAACAAACTCATTGTTTAAAGCGATTTGAACATTTTAATGTAATAAGGCACTACATCAAATGCAAAGAATGTTTGCATGTGGCCCTCACCGTAACGGTTCCTTTAGAGTTCAAAATGCTCGCATACTTAGAGCTCAAAATATAAAGTGCATTTTACATTTTTTGTGAATTGACCTTAAACCACATAGGTTTTCCACATTAGATGTTTCTCTTTCTAGGTTGGTAAAGGTTGACAAGTTTATCCAGACTAAACCGTAAATGATTTAGATACAATTTCCTGTCCATCCATCAACTTGTCTACTTTACCTAACAGCAGTACTTGTGCTATATACAAAGGCACAGCAGACTTGCCAAGCAGCATTCTCTTTAGCCTAATTTAATTTATTAACTTGACTTATTAACAAACTTATTTTGTTGCATTTCACAGTTCCTGATTTTATATGAGATTTGTGACCTTTCTTACAAATCCAATCCTAACATTGCCCTACCATTCATATGTTATACAAGTTTTGTAATACAGTAAACTCCTAATAACTCAACACTGGCTTGTCTCGTCACTACCACTTAAGTCATCGTGCTGTCAATGTTCCAGCCGCATATACATATTTACATATTTGTATCTATCTATGCCTAACTCGCCACACTGGATAACTCATTACTGAGTCCTTTTCTCATGGAGTGACAAGTTATGAGGAGTTTACTGTATTTTTTTAAATCATCTTGTATAGTCGAAGCACACTTCCTGCCATTAGTCTCTTAAATTCCCACAAAAGCCCCATCTAGTGATGGGAATAATTATAATAATAACCATCACATCTCCCTGTTCTCTGATACAGCCTGAGAATAATTCTGCTCTTTTTAAAAAAGATCAATGGAGAGGCGAAGGGAAAAAAAAGTACCTTTTATTTCCATATATTTATAAATCCTTCACATGTGTGCACCAACATTGCTTCTGGCAGATAGTGTCTAAAATAGGACCTTTCATTGCTATCCCTGTCATTGTAGATAATTATCATCAACTGATGTGCTCAGTGTGATTATTTTAAATGCAAAGTCATCATATAGTGACATTTTGTTTACTGATCCTATTTGAACAGACGCAGTCCTATAGCAGACACACTCTGCCTCATGGGAAAAATACAAGCCAAGCTAAAGAGATTTTTCTGCGCCGTCAAGAGAGTCTCCTTAAAGATGATTCTTTCCTGAGCACAGTAAAGGTAAATTCGGTGTACTATCTCATCTGATAATTCATCATTTCAATATGTATATATTTTTCAAAATCACATTTGCAATTGATACAATTTTATTTTTAAAGATTAACTCACTTTTTTTGTTTAATCATCTCTTCTTGTCTGTTTAAGAACAACTTCTTGATGGAGAACATTCAACTTTGAACTAACAAATTTTCTAAGTGTGGCTTAGTTGTATATATAAATGATGTTGTAACAAGAAGGCCAAGTGGACAAAAGAAGTATATGCCATTATTCTGTTCACTCTGCATTGCAGGTGGAGATATAATGCAGTACAGAAATGATTGGCTTTTTTAGGCTCTTCAAATTTAAAATGCTGCTGTCCTCATGGATTGATCAATTCCACACTTGCTCTTTGATGCTGGAAGGCATAATACACAGGCTTGGAACCAAAACTAAGAATTGTTCTGTATCTTTGTGTTTTCTTTATTCCAGAGGAGATCATCTACAGGGGTGGGTGAGTCACAAAAGAAGGGTAAACTGGCTCGATCCCTAACAGGTAACAAATTTAGCTTGTTTGATTTGAATAATATTGATCTACATCAACTGTCTGGATTCATATACAAAGACTCAAGGCTTAAACACAAATGTGCAGACACACACACACACACACACACAGTACAAAGATTCCTATTAAAAAACCTTGCATTGAATTGCTTCCGTAGTCAAATCAGAAGGCTACATTAGGACCATTATCTTTCTACTGTTTCTAATAAAAGAGTTTGTACTTTTCTGTTTGTTCATTTTTTAAAAATTATTAACTCTCAGAATGTAAATTGCGGTTATAGATATGAGAATGTGCATATAATAAATGAACTTCAGATTTTTTTTTGAAGCTAGTGTTTCAAGACGAGTGAATTAGAGTTGATTTCTGTCCTAGGGTCATGTGCTTAATATTAGTATAAATTAAATTAAAATCACATCAAGCGATGATCTAAGATGAGGTGCGTAGCTAACTGTATCCAATAGAGGAATCATGCACTTCAGACAACAGAAGCTCATTTAGATGGGATCTGACTCATCGTGACAGCAGTTTAAAACCCCAGTCTGCTGATTCCTTTATAAATTCTGGCAGTGGTGACCCAGAGGATCGAGCTTTCTATATATAAATCTTGGTCATTTTGGTGCCTGTGTCACATGACTTGCGCTGTCTTTTCTTCATATACAAAGCTTACTGCACAGATTTGGGATAATTAAAATGAAGCTTTACTTGAAATGCATCTGTAATTGAGAGGGTACCGTGATCAAATGGTAATCTCTGCCCCTGGAGAATTGGGTTCAGATTTAGCCTGGGGAAGAAAAAGAGATGAAGGTCGTTTTTCAGGAATTGAGTGAAGTGAGAATTAAATGCAATTCCTGGCACAAAACAAATCTCATGGATTCTTAAATTAAAAGGTAATAAGTAAACCTCGATTCTATCAGATAACAGTAATGGAGCATTTTTCATATTTTGCTCCGAGTGTCAACATAAAACACTGCTAAAGATCAGGGAAAGTATTGGAGAAACGTCTAGCTCTATAGTCCTCCTCAATATACTTCAAACCCAACCTAGGTGGAGCATCTCATTCTGCAACAGTGATGCAGAATGAAGGTGCTTTGCAACAGCATTCATAAAATATTCATCAATATTGAATCAGATGTGTCTTCTGCTACCTAAACATCACAGGATCAGTTTAGATAGTTTATTAGCTTGTGACAAATAGACTTCACAGAATATACTGTAAAGTGGAGTGACTCTATATTATGTGGACGAAACGTGGCAGCCAGTTGGCACAGTAGTGTCTCACAAACAGTCGTGGATTGAGTAACAAAATTATCATTTTTTATTTACTTCTAAGGGAATATTACCCCCGGAAAAGCAATCTGCCAATTGGCTAACAACCAGGTTCCTACTTACTGCTAGGTAAACAGAGGTGTATGGAGTAAGGAAATTTGCTAAGGTTTTGCCCAGCTCCAGGAATCAAACCCATGTTTTCTTGCTTGCGAGGCGAGTGCTCTAACCCATACGCTACAGGACACCATCATATAGTGGATATGAATCCAGATCTATGCCACTTACAATGAAACATAATAATCTTTATGTGTGCAAGTGTTACGATTTCCTTTGTATTTTTTTCTGCAGTTGGAGGATATGGGGGCAATAATAATGCCCAGAAGAAATCTACACAATTACCCAAGTCTCAGTCAGCCACAGCACCTCAGCAACTTAGCAACACTGAATGGATCAACGAGGAAGAAACAGAAAATGCACAAAGTCCTGATGCAATTGATGAGAACCGTATATCAGAGAGACATGTTGACAATAGCACAAAAGACATGGTTGGACCCAAATTAAAGTTGAGATTTGCCTCTCAAGATACAGAAGAAATTGAATCATCACCAAATGAAATTAGTAATGGGTAGAGACCATCCAATATACTGCCATTAGTCCACCAATTCTCTGAACACATTAGTGATCGGGACTACACAGAATAAGGAAGTATATAACAGCATGAAATTGATGGAGCACAAGTTGTTCCTTGAAATATTTAATATGTACTTTCATTGAAATTAAAAGCTAAGCCTACACATGTAAATAGCTCTTTCTAGCACCATATTGCACTTTATGTAGTTCAAGGATGATATCAATTGTCACCACCTTCGGCCAGGTTTCATTCCTTGAACAGCTAGCAATAGCCTGCTCAAAATTCCTACGAAATGTCATCTATGTTGGTCATGAGATAAGCTGTCACTGAATGCTCTTGTATAATCGTTGTCATGTATTTTTCTTCCTCCTTGTTGGTCATTACCATCGAAGACGTGAAAAGCGCTATATCAAATGCAAGGATTATTATTATATTATTATTATTATTATTATCAAGGACATCTCTATTTAAAGATCTAGTAAAACACAACAGGACAAAATTGCAATCTAATTTGAATTACTCATAATCCAGATTTGTTACATTAAGTTTAACTTGCGGTGAGTAACTTCTCAGTTGTCGAATCCTGAGTCATCAATGTTCAAAGAAAGCCCAGAAAGCAAGATGACCAGTCAATGGCCATGTTTTGTTCAATGAGCTGTTTATGAATAATCCTCACCCTAGCACCGACTTGGCATTTGCAATTCACTAGCTGCAAATTTCTCCAATCAATTTATCAAAAACCAAATTTGATGCATTTAATGCAAATAATCTGTTTTTCAAATGTTTAAAGTCATTAGTTTGGAAAAATTCTCAATCGGTAGTAATTAATTATTTGCATCAAGTTACTCTATACTGCTTAAAATTCATAAACAATGACAATGTTTATAATCTTATTTACAGAAAGTACATATAATGTGAATGAAAGGTGCTTAGTAATTAATAATTGCATATTGTACAGATTAAGAAATTCCCAGATAGGAAAGAGTTAAAAAGTTGTAATTCAGTTGAGGTGCCCTGATGACCTGCAATACTATGAAAATGAAGCTCTCATACACATTTTTTAATATCCCAAACTCTTTTGCTTTATTAACTGGACATAAATCTCAAAATCAAAAGCAGGAGTGATTAGTGAACATACGGATGGAGATGATTACTTTTGACCTGAAAATAATAATTGTTGTGAGACTTCAAATGAAGCAGCAGAAGACAGAGATAACTGCTCAATATCTACAGCTATCTGAGTCAGACTTGTGCCTGTGGTCATTTCCAACCTGGTTCAATTCTTAGTGTTAATTTTCACTTGAAATAGTATCTTTAATTGTCTTCATTTCTGCAAATAATTAACACACACATTTAGAGTAAGTAAAAAGAGTAAATAAACAGCAAATGAGAAAAAAAGAAAAACACGTTGACCAAGATAAGATTTCTGGAATTGCCAGTCAGTTTGTGTTGGGGCTGTAGATGTCATTAGTAAATCTATGGGAATAGTGGGGATTGATGAGTTGCACAGGTAACAAAGAATACAGTATATTACAATTGCATTTTTGTTACTTATGCTGACATACATGGAGAATGATCAGTACAGTTTCCAAACATTTTGTGGTCGGTTATATTTTGTAGCCATATGACTGGGACAGATACGATTTTCACCAATTGAGTAGGTGCCTTATTTCTTGAGAATGTTGTGTCACATAGTTTGTATTATGTTTCTAAATTGAATGAAAATTAACCACATCCATGGAAAGTAAAACCCAGAAATGATTGTTGTTCACCTCTTACTATATACTGTACTTTCTACTGAATGTTTGTTGCACATTTGTTACTATTTGAGTTCTTTGTGTGAATCCAATTAAGTAAACAATCAGCTACCATTTGCCCCATGGAGCTAACAAAGTCCTAACAAAGCTTAACTATTGCTGATATACTGCAGGTCTGCTTCTCTCCAAGTATATCAATTAAAAACATTCCTGAAATTATGTTGATCTGTTTCTTTTTGTAAAAGCAAGAACTTACCAACCACCTCAGTGTAGTTCATCATTCTTCATTATCAAGTTTTAGAGTGCATCCAATAGTCCAAATATAAATAATGCATTTGCATCTGACATGACTCCTTATCACATTGTTGAAACTTCTCAAAGGGCTTCACAGTACTTTACTGTGGAATATTGTGACTGTGACTTTAGGTGAATACAACAACCAATTTGTGCACAGCAATGTGCCACCAACAGTCATACACATTTGTTAGTTAAAAGTTATCTTTCCATCTCTTCCAATAGCTCAGGTGGTGCAATGAGCAAAACATGAGGAAAGTGCACCAATGTGTTTAATGAAACTGGCCTAGGAATGAAGCAATTGATATTCACTCCATCTAGGCAAAAATTAGATTTTACAATTATTCATTTAATTAACAATTGACCTGGATCCAGCTTATCCTCAGCAAATAGCAAATGCCGCAACTCGGCTGTCAAACATTCTTCAGTAGCTGTTGAAGCCTTGTGGGATTTTAAGATATTTAAGATAAAGAATAATATTTGATGGCATTACATTGTCTTCCCTGTCAGAAGCATAATTGTTTCTACTAAAGCTGACTTCAACATCCAATATGTACGTTTTAAACACTTCTTTTAACACTGCCATCAACCTGTCAGTACTCTAATCCAAAGGATTTCTTTCCTCAGGATCAAACAAGCACTAAATGTATTGGTTCTGATGAAACATCCAGCCTAAAATGCTATAAAAATCCTAATATTCCTTTACGTCAGGAGGACATCTCAAAGTGCTTCACAGGTTTTCTATAAAGTGTAGTGACTGTGTATTTTTAGGCAAATGCGGCAGTCAATTTGTGCACAGCAATGTCCCACAACCATGAAGTGAATGACCAATATTATTTGACCAAATTCACTAACTTATCCTTCTCTTTCAAATTCTTAATTTTTAAGAATTGATTCTTATTTTTTAAGGCTGTGTATTTCCAGCCTTCTTTATTTTAAGAAAGTATGATGATAATAAAAGTACTTGCATTTGATATTGGCCATTATCACGATGATAAAGTGGGACATCTTGTCTCTAACACAGTGCAGTGTACTTTGAAGCATCGTGATTGTTATGTAGCCAAGTATAGCAACTAATCTGCACCCACATAATCCTGCAATGTGATGAAGGCCAATTAATCTACTCTGGGAGACTGTTCATGTGACAATTATTCATGTGTGAGCTTTGACAGTGAGTGTTGGCAGGCTATTTGACACCAGAGGCATTCCAACCAAGATGGATCCTGTCTTTACCTGATGTCAACACGCTTTCAGCAAAAGCCTGGATAGTAATAATAATTATAATAATTCTTACATTTGATATAGCCCTTTCACGTCAGGAGGACGTCTCAAAGCGCTTCACAAGATGTACTGCAACGTCGAGTGATTGTGTATTTTGTAAACAGGAATACTGGCTGATTTACCCCTCACTAACCCATCAATTGTAGTGTTTTGAAGTGTTTCTGGATGAGTAAAATTATGGTTTTATTGAATGACATGACTGTCATTGTGTATTACCAAACAGGAGTGGAGGAAATAATGATTAAAATTCAGCAGTAAATACACTTGGTTTCGGTTCACACATGCATAACAATTACAAAATTGCATTATAAAATTTCTAATATCCATTCGCTAGTCAAATTAATAATATATATTTCTTCTACATTTTTTGTACTCATTTTGGAATTTCTCTTTCTGCAAGATGTCCCACTTTATCTTCAACATTTGGGAGAATCATTGTGAACCTGCCTGTGAACATCAGTTTTGGAAATGATTAAAGCTTCTTGCTGAACATTACATGACAGGAGGTGTACATGAGATACTATTGGAAGCTCCCTGGATGGGATGTCAAAGCTTGACTAGCAAAGAAAGTGCAGTCACAAATATCACATCATATTGTGGTTCAAGCACTGGCTTCCTTGTGGAAACAAATGAAGTTGATCTGGATAATGTTATAGTTTCAAATCTTCTCATTATATCTACTTGATTATTGCTGTTTGTCTTGGTAAAAAAAATATGTGCACTTGTGCTGCTACTGCATGGCTAAGAGAATCTTCTTCTTTTGAACACCATCATGCCACTATACGGAAATTCAAAATGTTGGCTTAATTATCTGAAAGAACTGAGATTCCACTCTCAATCCTATTATATAAATATTTAACAATGTCTCTCCTTCCTAGCTGTCTGCTAGATTGCCTTAGCTTTTGTCAGTGTGACATTCAACTAGAAGGTCATTTACTTATTCAAATTGCAGACATCCTTCAGTTAGAGGAAATTTCAATAAATCTTCCGACACATTTTGTGGCTCAGCGATGGATCTCAGCTCCAAAGTAAAATGAATTGGCAAATTTATGAAACAAAATAATTTCTGGATGAAACGTATAATTACAGCTATGTAGAATTTTATTCTGCAACAATTTTTAATGTATGTTTTTAAAAGTACCTTAATGATGATCCATCATGTCTTTATTTTGGTGCTTTTTGTCATTTGTTATTTTCTTATTAATAGATACTACGTTGGTGGTGAAGTCCTGCATCAATAAATGAATGCAAAGCTATGTTACTGGTACACAAAAGTTTATTATCAGTTTATTATTATTAACAGTTTTATATTCAGCTGAAATAGAGGTGCAGGTTCCAGGGTTTGTTAATTTGTGTATTAGAGAAAAATCTATGCTGTTCAACATTGACCTCAACACCTTTTTTAAATCTGATATTGTTAATGGGATCATTATTATCACATCTCATCACTTCTGAAGCATGCAAATTTACTCCTGTAGTACACAAATATTATTTTTTAATAAAATCCTGCCATGAATTGCAAATATAACAAAGCTTTCTGCAATAATTAATTTTACCACATGATGGAGACTGTAGGCAATGATTGCTGTGGAAGTTGAAAATAATTGGCAAATGCTACTTTGGTGAACATATCAGAAGAGCATTTTGGGAAAGAATCCATGTTATTGGATTTGACCTATTTTAATATGAAGTCACTTTAATATATTTTGTAATTAAAAAAACATTTGCCTGTTGTTTAATTTTTTTTGTTGGTATCACTTGGCCTCAGGTATCTCACTTAAATTGCCATTACATTTATGTGCAAGTCTTGACACGGAATGCTGCCAACCATTTGACCACAGAGAGAATCAAAGCAGAACTCAATCCTGTCCTCACTCGTGCACCTTCCATTAGTGCTACCGGATGGCAATTTGGAGCAAGACCTCTTCCTGATTTTCCCCACCCATGGGAGGCCGAGGTCAATTGTACTGTTCTACTGTTGCACTGACTGCAGTTGAACCCAGCTTTGGGTTTATATCCAAAATAATTTTGGATATATTTGCAGAGCATAAGGGGAGATCAATCCAAATATCTTAACTTCGTGTTATCTCACCTCATTGTGTTCTCTCATTAACCTTTCCAGTTTAGAATCTTACACTTTATTCCACATTCTAATATAATTTCCATTTTAAAACAGTGATTTTTTTTTCCAGGTGCCCTCTGCCCATAAATCATGCATGGAATACTTGTCAGCACCTGAGTGTAATAGAACTGCAGGGTGCTGCACTTTGCCAGCAGGACAGCCAGCAAAATAAGGTCTTTGAAAAGTTCTCCAAATGTGTTCTTTTTTTTTGGCCACAAAGTGCAGCATCATTAAAACTGGATTAAATATTACACTTGATGCAATGAAATAAGAATGTATGAAACTCTATTCTGCTTGATGTTTTGACATTTCTATGTGCTACATCAAATGCATTAAAAAGCCATTTCGCTCTTAATAAATGGTAAGAAATTCCATGAACAGATCTGCAGCTATGCCATATTTAAATTTCCAAGTATTGACCGTGAACTGGATTGGAGTTCAGCTGATGAAGCAGAAACAATTGAAAATTGAGATAAGAGCATCTCATCCCTTATGGTCTGCAGAGGGCGATATGATTCAACATTCACACATTCATGCTTTAGTTTTCCAGGATTTCTCTCAGATCCTCTTTAAAGTTCAGTGCCTTTTGATATTTGTTATTTTTTTTAAAACAACAATGTTATTTTTTTGAAAGGGTGATTTCTGGCGATGACATTGAAGGAACTGGCCTGGTAATATTTTTTTAAACACAGCAGTGACCAAGGTGAAATTAACATCAGTACAAACAGAAATTAAACCAACAGTGCTTCGATGAACTTACTTGAACTGATATTATCTTCATAGTATCTCTACCCTTGAAGAACACAAAAAATATAATTTAACACCACTCTCAAGTTAGTTACAATTTATTTTAATTGTTGGTTGTTCATAGAGGATCACTGATGATGAGATTCTCTCTTTAAACTGCCAGGTTTGACAACCTTCAGTGCTGTACCGATGTGTAATTTAGCTCGACCGATTGAGGGAACTTTGAATATACCGCAATGCTTCACACCACAACTTGGAACAGTGACACAAACCTGAAGGCAGAGGTTCTGAGAACGCGTTTAACACAACTCATCCCTCTTAAGAAAGAAAGCTGTCCACAGGAACTGAAACCTTAAATTCTTTTAGGAGCTGAGCCTGGAGGGAGGACTATATAAACTAATATAACTGCTCTTATAACTCAGAAACAGCTGAAACAGCTGCATCAGTCACTGGGGAATCAATCTTGGCTTGATACTGACTAGTGGAAAGACCAGGGCTCCACCAATGATTCCAGACATGGTTTAAGTTTCTGTATTTGTACCCAATGCAGCAGTTTATCTTTACTCAGTCCAGATGACTTATATTCTCTATGAGAAGTGAAAGCGTTTAAAATCTTTGCTATATATTTAAGCCTTTTACTGGTACAAACTTGTGCTAAAATAAAATTCCTTCACACAATGTGAATCTACAGTTCACTTTTGTCTAGTTACTTTTACAAGAGGAATACTGTACAATTCTTGATCTGTGTGAGATTCTCTCACTGCATTGCATGTAAAACAGATGTACTTTACTTCAAGTCATCTAAAATGTTTGTCAAGTAACTGATAATGACCTAATTCCAATACAGTTTGTAATAATAAATTATAATCCTTGCATCTGATACAGCATCTTTAATGTCAGCAGGACATCTCTCAACTATAGTAACTGTATAGTATACTGTCTAGCCATCATCAGCCACTACACCCCAACCTATGGGACTCTGATTGCAAATGTGCTTCATTATGTTAGTGTTTTTTTGATTAAAAAAAAGAATTTCTCGCAGATACGAATATGTTTGAATATGTTGAATAAAATGTGCTTACATATCCATTTTCTCAATGAAATTGTTAGAAAATCTATACCACGTGATTCTTTTTATACTTGCTGATAGTTGGGAGCCTGTCATCTTTTAATTGTGAATCAGCAAATGAATCAAACCCCTTGATTTTCATAATTCAAACAGTCAACTCTCCTCAGGCTCTGTACAAATAGTGACAACACTATTCCATATGAACAGCTGTTACTATGCTTTAAAGCCTCATCAGAATTATGTGTTCAATGGCATGTGATGTACAAAGATTTCAATGATTAACCCTTTGCTTTTACTAGGTAGCTAAACAGAGACTGCTTCAGTAGTTTTTAAAAGGCTTTTAAACAGCAGCTAAAATATGAAGGCAATGGATCATCATACAGTATTTGAATTTTTAAAAAAATATCATTTATCACACAGGGAATATTTAACATTTAATTTTAATTTAGTTTTCTTCCCATTGTCCCTTTTGTTCATCTCAACTTTATGAAAAATAATTCTCTGATGAGGTGAGTGTCCATGTTTCATCTGATTTGGACTAATCAAATTGCCAATAATTTGTTGTAAAATCATTTAAAATAATTTAAATAAACTTGCAACAGGGGTACTTGCATTGCATCACAAATCTCTGCCCCAAAACGATCTCTGTAAAGACCTATGCAATGCAATTTACATTTACAATGGAGTCTTTCACGTTGGGAGGACGTCTCAAGAGCACTTGAGAAGAACTAGAAATTTGCATAGGCTGGAAGAAAAAGAAGAATAGAATATCGGGAGGATTATTGCTGAAGCAGTTGATACATTTCTCTTTGAAAACAGCCCATTTAGATTTGTGGAGTCCTGTAGCTCAGTGGTTAGAGCACTCGCTTTACAAGCGAGAGACTTCACTTCAATTCCAGGCAGGGCGAAACCTTGGGCAAGTTTCCTTACTCCACATGCTTAATAATAATAATCCCTCCATAACAAAAAACAATAATAAATTGGTCATTTTCAATCTACGACTGTTTGTGGGACATTGCTGTGCGCAATTGGCTGCCGCGTTCGCCCACAAATATAGTCAATTCACTTTATAGTGTGTTCTGTGAAGCACTTTGGGACGTCCTCCCGACGTGAAAAGCGCTATATCAAATGCAAAGATTATTATTATTATTATTAGATTACTAATGTTACATTATAACAATGACAACTCCTTATTATTAATAATAATAATCCTTGCAGTTGATATAGTGCCTTATCACGTCGTTGAGGTGTCTCAAAGCTTCACAGAATATACTGTAAAGTGGATTGACTGTACTTTGTGGGCGAAACATGGCAGCCAATTGCACACAGCAGTGTCCCACAAACAGATTGAGTGACCCAAATTTTTTGGGGGGATTATTACAACGGAAAGCAATCCGCAAATTGACTAACAACAGGGTTCCTACTTACTGCTAGGTAAACACAAGCATGTGAAATAAGGAAACTTGCCTAAGATTTTGCCCCGCCCGAGAATCAAACCCAGGTCCTCTTGCTTCATGACGAGCCTACTAACCACTAGGCTATGGGACTCCACACAAGTTGTTATTCTCCCATAAAGTTACACTGTAGTGTCAATTCTAGAGGGAGGGACACAAATATTTATGGCATTTGTTTTGAAAGATGTTTGCTCTGTGACACAACACATTAGGAAATTGCCACAAAGCACTCATAGTAAAGTAACAGTACTTTATGGGTCCAATGCCAGCTTCTTAGCATCTTAACCTGGATTCTTAAAGAATTTCCAACCTGATTTCTCTGTAGAAAACAAGTAAGCAAAATTTGAACAACATTGTATTAATATATTAATAATAATTAATATTATTTACATTCAGGCACTTTTTTTGCAGCAAGGTCATCTATTTTGATATGTGTTGTACCGCGCCCTTGTGAAACTTACACCGTCGTGAAATGGAGTTCACCCACGTCCTAAAATAGCAGTCTGATTCAGACAAACATTCATTGCAGACACAGCTTCCAGCAAACACTTTAGCCAAGTTAGAAACTTTTGCTGGACCATGAAAGTTAGCATTATTGCCTTTGTTGCGGGGCTTATTGGAGCCATTGGGGTGCTTCTATTTCTGATAGCATTTGGGACAGATTACTGGCTGTTAGCAACTGAGAACTGTGAAGCATATGATCATGAATCTGAAAGTAAAACATCCAGGCCTCGAGCTACCACAGAGGTGAGTGCCCGTGTTTTGTTTGATTTCAACTAGTCAAATTGCGGAGTGTGTGTCATAACAAGGTACTACAATTCCGTCTGTAATACTGGAGGCGATTCTAGATGTGATTTCTCTTTTGAAAACGGGCATAAGTGTAGAAAGATGTTTGTATTAGAAACATAAAATGAACTTTTATGTGATTCCCTTAAACTGTACTAAAATCCTCTGTTTGACAATTGATGTTCAGCACAGGTTAACTGGAACACAAATGACCAAATTCCTGTATCTTTTAACAACCGCAAAATTTATATAGTTGAGGATTGGGGTAGAGGAGGGAGGGGGGAGAAGCAGGGAGATCGAAAGCACGGTCAAAGAGGAGGGTCTTGTGGTGGTGTCTTGAAGGTGGCGAGGGAGGGGGCGAGATGGAGGGACTGCAGGATGGGGTTCCAGAGGATGGGTGCAGAGTGGCGGAAGGCCCGCCCGCCGATAGTGGGGCGAGCAAGGCGGGGGTCATGAAGTAGCCTGGAGTTTGTTGAGTGGAGGGAGCGAACGGGGTGGTAGGTGGTTAGGAGGTCGGAGAGGTAAGGGGAGCGAGACCGTAGAGGGCTTTATTATTTAAAACATTTATCGATTGAATTTTTATTGTTGAAAAGTTAGTAGTTCTTTCCAATTTGACACAGAGTAAAGCCTAGAGAGTGGAGTAATTTGTTACGTATTCTAGTAAAGAGAGGTGCTACATCTAGTGAGGTACTTTCTCAATCAGAGCTCAGCCTCTATCTTGTGAAGTGTTATTCAACAACTCACCAATGACAACCTAATAGCAGCCACAGAAAACTTTTGGTCAGTTTTAGATTCAAGCATTGAACCGGAGACGGGAGAAGAGAGGGGTACAGATAGTTGGTCAGTGTGTGTGTGTGTTTGGAGGAAACAAAAGGTTTTCATTTGGCCACAGCCAGTCAATGATTTTCAACTGCTTCGACTCCAATTCTGGCATTATCACTGGAGTTCCTGTAATATCATATGTTATATTTTTGACCCTCAATGTTTCACTATATTGTGAATATTTTCAGTTAATTTGCACAAACACGTGACAAACATGTGCTAAGCTAGGAGAAGAGATACCAATGCACCCTAATAAGGTTCATCCCATTTCTGAAAGCCACAGCTGTCAAGCTATTGGCAAAGTTGTAGGTGAACTGTCCCAGAGTAATACTTAATAATAATAATAATAATCCTTGCATTTGATATAGCGCTTTTCACATCGGGAGGACGTCCCAAAGTGCTTAAACTTAAAAAGCAGGACATTGCCAGAGAGCAAGTGAGCATATTGCAATATTTATATTGTACTTGTGGTGGCAACTCACTGCTATTTGGACAGGAATTTTCTGCAGAATATATGGGGGCCTGGTTAGTGGGAACCATCACAAGGGCCCTGATCATTTCTTTCCCTTTCAAAGTTCTCAGGCCTATATAAATGCAAGTTGTTATTGTTGTTATTGTAGCTTTTAATCCTAATTACAACTTTGTGGGAGACACAGCAGCTCTGCTTTGTCTAATTTCTCTCACTGTTAGTACAACCACATTTGTAGGGTTGAAACTTGTTCCATTGCGCAGTGCCTTCGAAGCATCATTCCTCCTCCTTTTCCACCTTCCCTGCACCCTTCAGCAATAACAACAAACTGCATTTATATAGCATCTTTCACGTTGAGAGGATATCCCACTAAGTATTGTAACAGGTTAACTTTTAAAATGGATGCCAATATTTAACCTCCTCTTCAAGTATTCTGTCTGTGTTTTTGTTTCTTCTGTGTGTTCACTTATTGAAGAAAATCTCAGCACTTGTGTGTTTATTTCACAGCTATACCTACTCCCTTTCAGAAAATGTGGAATAAAATCCTTGCCTCGAAGATTGTTCAGACTCAGCTCTGTCATTTTAAAGTTTTTCTGATTACTACTGGGATGATAGAATAGAATACTTGGATGAATCATCAGCAGAGAGATTATAATATCAATTTGGCAAACACATCTCCTGTCCACTGATAAGGAATGACATTGGCAGCGTTTCATCAAATTCCTGACTGGAGGTGGTGATAGGAAGCCACAGTATAAAAAGGCATGGATTATAATAATTATTATAATAGATTACAATGTTCCTGTTGTAAGATTTGTGATGTCATCACCAATGCACAGATGATATATATACATTTGTCATATCTTAGGATGGATGCGTTAACCCATTTGTATGCATACAACAGAATAATAAGTGTGAAGTATTAACCAGCAGAGGGTTGATTTTACAGATGATTTAGACAATGTAGGAATGAGTTGGTAGCTTAGGTAATTGCACAACAGAAATCACTTTTCTCTTTGAGAAGGTTTAGTGTGTGATATACCTACTTCATTTGTCTGCATTTACTATGGAACACACCACGCACGGCCCATTGAAGAATCCAAGTGTTGTGCTGAGAGATTTGGATGCAGGTTCAATATTAAGGCACTAATTCAATATTAAACTCATCAGGTCAACCAGAGATCAGGACTATTCACACTCTGCCAGTCAATGGCACTAAATCCACTGGTGAAATTCAATTCAGTTCACAAAACTCAATTTGTTTCAATAAAAATCAATTTGCAGATTATTTACTGAATTGAGTGCATTGCTTATAATATACTGTATGTCATTTGTGTGCAGGAAGCTAGTGAAACACACGATGAATCTTCCATCACCTTTCACCATGAGGGATTCTTTTGGCGGTGTTGGTTCAGTGAAGACATTTCCCATGACAGCATCTGGAACTTCTGGTTTAGTAAGTTATGTAACTATACTCATTTCACTTTGCTTCATTCATGTATACCCTAGTTACACCACTTTGCAGTAATATCCATTAAAGCACTTTGAGACATCTCGATAATATGATAAGGTACTATATTAAATGCAAGCATTATTAAATTCCACATCTGCTTAAACCACTGTAACCCCCAACGAGGTTTTCTCTGAATAGCAATGGTCAAGAATTTTTCAGCTCTCAAATACCTTCACTACAGAAAAGGTCCCTTTGTAAATGACTGAACCACCGGCTCAATGGTTGAACCAGAAGCTAGTATATGTTCCTATTCACTGCTCGTAGACATATAATATTCTAAATTTTAATAAGGGCTTGTGCATGATTCCCTGCTGCCCCAAACAGATCACCTCATCAGATGAAACAAACTTTATTTTTAAATCCAGAATGAAATCCACTCTCTCTCAAACACTCTCTCTCAGGCATACTGAGAGACTAGTAAACACTGCTGGAGGTGCAATGTGGTGGAAACAGTCAAGGAAGTAACATATTACCACACACATTTCAAGACATCATTGTAGAGACATTTTCTATGCAAAAAACTCTGAGGAGCTTTACAGGTGAAATGAAGGGAAAGCTACTCCTTGGATTCCACATTCAGGAAATTCCTATCTGGTCAATCCAAATTATTATTTAAAATATGTAAAACCGCCTGACCTTTGTTACAAAGATAAGGTCTCCCATTTTGTCGTACTGATTATGTCTTTCATAATTTTATTACTGTGAAAAGATCGCTTATAAGAACATAAGAACATAAGAATTAGGAGCAGGAGTAGGCCATTCGGCCCCTCGAGCCTGCCCCACCATTCAATAAGATCATGGCTGATCTTCAGACCTAACTCTAATTACCTGCCCTATCCCCATATCCCCTAATCCCTCTATTTTTTAAAAATCTATCAGTCTCAACCTAGGAATCTAACTTGCAATTTGTACAACCCACATGTGAAATTGTGGATTTGGTGCCTTTACAACAACTTCAACAACAACAACTGACATTTATATAGCATCTTTCACACAGGGTAGCATCTTAGCCCGACACTGAGCCAGGGAGAAGGGAAGGTGATTGTAGGCACGGTCAAAGAGGAAGATCTTCAAGTGTGATCTGAAGATGGGCAAGGAGGGGGCAAGGTGGAGGGATTGAAAGGAATTTAACCATACTTTTTGCTGTTTACTTTACTTTGGACACAAGTTTAGTCAACACATTTAATGAGTCATTGATAAAAAACAGCTTCTATTAAATGCTTCACTATTAATTCTTTCCAAGGCTTAAGTAGCAGATTTTTAAAAGGATTTTACCTCCCCCTTAGTCCATTATAAATACATACCAGTGAAGTTGTTCACTTTATCACCCAGGGGATTGGATCCAATAATGTTAGATACAATGCATTCCAGCCCTGGGCATCATTAGATTTTGACAGGAGCATATATTTTATTTTTAAAAAAATCATTTTAAATCATCAACTTTAAAGAAGAACAAAAATTCTTATTTGCCCAGCAGGTTCCCTTCGCATTGTGCGAACACTGACTTTAATCCAAAATGCAAACAGTAGAAGTAGAACCTTTACCAAAAATATTCCATCGTTCATGAGGATACTCTACCTCCAATTTGTAAAATTAAAACGTTTGAATTGAGTCGAGTATACATTCAGTAATAAGCGTGCTAGAGTTATAACTTTACTTTGAGGATTTTTACTAATTTTCTATTATCTTTTTTTGTGCAGCAAACCAGCCCCCATCAAAGTTCTGTGTTCGTGGCTACCTCTTCCCTTTGCCGATTGCACTGGGGCCCCTTCTTTCCCACGACAACACGGCTGGTATGTTTTGTGACATAATTAGGCTTAAACTTGGGTTGCAGTTTTTTTCTGTACAATTATCTGAGATCCGCGTTCTCTTCGTGATGATTGCAATGCTTCTTACTAGATAGTTTGACACCTTTTTGCATTCTTTCCAATTACACAGTGTACCGTGGCTTTTGGACGGTGTTCATAATATTAGCTGTGACTGCTGCTATTGTGGGAGGATTCCTGTTAGTTTGTGCAGTGCCATTTGTGAGTGCCAAGCTCTACAAAGTAGGAGGTGGATTTCTTTTGGCTGCTGGTAAGTTGTTGCTCATATATAAGAACCAGTACATATCTCCAAAAAGCAATTTGCATACAATAAAATGTTCCCAAACAGCCTTTGACTTGCAAGCTGTTGTAGAGCCATACAAACATGAAAGGTCCCAGATTCAAACCTTGGTCTGAATTGCTCGTGAATCTCAGCTGCAGTGTAATGGAAGAGCTCCAACTGGCCTTAGCCACTGCAAACCTTTGAATATTTACCAGTATGTGGAGTTGTACACTTTTATCTAATAGGGTGGAAACGTGCCAATTCATTGTAATGGGAGAAGCATTGTATTACATTGCATCATAAATAAAAGATACTCAGTGATTCTAATAGCCTAATAACATTCTTGCTGTGATAAAGAAAGAGGAAAGTGTTGAAGCAATAAGTACTAGGTGTACTAGGTATATGTAAAACCTGAGATTTGCTTTACTGTTACGACTAGAGTACATATACAAGTGGATCCAACAATAGCATATGGAATTCAAGTTCCGAAAATTGAATCCCACCACCCTGAAACACAATTAAAAGATTATTTCAGGGAGAAATCTCAGTTTGGCAGAAATGTATGTATTTTTCAGCCTGTATAATTCTGGCCGTAAAATTAGGAGTTTTTTTTTAATCCAGGAGAATATAGTTTTCTCTCATTTCTATGTCCCTAATTCCGAATGCTGGCAAGGTCCATTACGTTTCTGCCAAGAAAGATGTCAGCGGTGTGATGCAAGAGAACACATATGCTGAATACCAATTGTCATTGTAACATAACATAGCAGAACCGAACTGAGAGTCAAATTGAATTTGAATATTTGAATTTACTATTATTATTATTCATTTATGGAAATAGAATTGAAATCCGTCACGTGAATTATTTATTCTCCCAGAACAAATGAGTTTTAAATTCCTTTTTATAATAGTGTTTACCTATTAGTAGTTGCAGTAAACTCCTGATAACTTGACCCTGGCTTAACTTGTGACCACCACTTAAGTCATCATGTGGTCAATATCCCAGCTGCATTTATTTATGCATTTATACATACGCCTAACTCACCACTGGAGATAACTCATCATGGAGTTCTTTTCCCTTGGAGTGATGAGTTATCAGGAGTTTTCTGTATTTGGTACAATTTTACAATTTGTTAGACCAGTTTATTTACTTAACATTAGCATTCTGAGGCTATTCGATGTGAGAGGTACCTTCCCTTGGTGGGTCTGGATGGCTTGGAGACACCCACATTTACTCCACTGCAGCATTTGCTAGGAATTGGAAACCTCAGCTGGTTTAAAGATAACAGGCAAGTCTTTAAATAGCTAAATGTAATCCTGTAACATAGTGATGGCACTCTGTCAGCATTTGATGCAATGCACATAATGCAGTGCAAATAAATAATATCACGGCCATACTATGTCTTACGAAAGAAGCAAACATTGCCCCCTGGTTCTTAATAAGCAATATCTTTGGTGTAGAATTAGAGGAACAATAAATATTGAAGAATATTTTCTTTTAGTGGAGTGGACCATAGAGTTCTCCATTTTGTAATAATGTTGTATGTCCCTAAACGATCTGTCTTTAAGCGCTTCAAGATGCAATCCTACGTGGAAAGCTCTATACAAGCGCCTGTTGTAATGTTGTTTCCAGAAAACGAAAGAGAGGAGAGGATAAAAAGAAAGACTGCTATTGTCAGAAACAAAATCTCCACAATATATTTTTTCTCAGGTTCTAAGATGAACAACTCCAGAGCGATACAGTGTAAGGGAAGGTATGAAAGAGCACAAGAGATTAGTAAAGGAAAAACAGTGGTCATCTCTGCTCTATTGTTGCCTTTTCGATCACACCAGATGTAATTGTAAAGCTCTTTCACGCTGCTTTTCAAAACCTCTAACTGGGCCCTCAGAAGACAGACATCACCTCCAGTGCAGCGTTTGATCTGAATTGAAAGTTTTGAAAGCAAAGGTTACTCAACAGTGGAGATGACAGCTGGATTGCTATGAATTTAATACACGAGAAACTGGGTTTAAGAGGAACCATTTCAACTTGAGAAAGGAATGTGCAATACAGAAGGAAGGAATTTTTTGGCATCTTTCGTGTTAAATATGGAGATAGTGGCAACCATAATGGTCACGACAGAATGAAACATAGTGATATCATATGCACACAGGCATTTAGTACTTATAGGGAGTCGATTTTATAATCTTTCTAATATGTATATTTAAATTATGATTAATTAGCTGAATTCATCAATATGGAAATGTATTACCACGATAATGTATTAATCTTAATAATATAATAATTATACTGCCGTGTTTCATAAGGATACAGCTGCTGCGATTTGAGTTATGGCAGAAAGGCTCAATGCCTGATGCAATTTACATATGCAAATTAATTAATTAATATATTCCATTAATATGTCCTCCCTTCTAGCAGATTTAAACATCTTCTCCCTATTTCACAACGATAAGGCTTACAGATGTTAAGTGATCTGTTAAAATATGGAGAGGCTCATGCCAACATTGATTAACTTATTTTCACCCTATTCCACAGGCAAAGATGGGGAAAAAAGTCAAAGAAAATAAGAAAGAATAAATAAACTGTCAGAAAGCACAATACATATAACAGAGAAGGGTGAAAAGATGTTGCAAAAGTGAAGGAAATATACTGGAGATCAGTAACACTGTTTAAACCATATTTTTAATAAAAGGGTAGAAAAAATAATGAAATAGGACAGGTAAAGTTAACAGAGATTGAAAAAATGGGAATAATGGGGAAGGGAGAATGTTAACTTTGACTCTTTGACTGTGCCTACAGTCACCTTGCCCCGCCTCGCCCCCCCACCACCCCCGCCAGCTCGGAGTCAGGCTCTGCCCCTGTTAAGCACTCTGAGATGTTACCTGCGTAGAGGGCGCTATATAAGTGCAAGTTGTTGTTACTTTTTTTTAAAAAGTACGTTTTTTCTGAGAGGGATAATATTACAGTGATTAAGTATAACCTTTCTGTGGGGCCATGAGGGTTTTTTTTCACGATCAGCTCGGACTGCCAGTTATATCTAATCAAATTTGATAAAACTCCATGATGATAATAATAATAATAAGCCGAGCATTTGATATAGTACCTTGTCAGGCTGTTGAGACGTCTCAAAGTGCTTCACAGGATATATTGTAAAGTGGATTAACTGTGTATTTTGTGGAAGAATGCGGCAGACAATTTGCGCACCGTAATGTCTCACAAACAGCCATGGAGTGAATGACCAATTTTATTTGGGGGATTTATTTGGCCAGGACACCAGGAGAGAGAAACTCCCTTCTCTTTTCGAATAAAATCATTAACACCCATCTGAACAAGCAGTCAGGATCTCTATTTAACAACTAACATCAAATGAACAATGCAGCACACCCACAGCGCTGCATTGGAGTGTCATCTTAGACTATGCAAGTCCAAGACCCGATGTAGGGCATGAACTCACAATCTTTTGACTCAGAAGCCATAATGCTATCACAGAGCCAGAGCAACAGAATTTCATAAGAGATTCAAAAACAGATTTGATCATTACGAATTATTATAAAATGTTGTATTTTCCAACTGATGTTTATTTTGATGAGTTGCTGAATGAAAGCCAAATATGAGGATGCAGGTGTGGAAAAATGTACAGTGTCTAATCAATGTCTTCCTAATCCTAAATTCCTATGTATATTGCACTTCAATCTAGAGCAACTATTTAATCATGGTTGAAAATGTCTCAGGTATGTGTCTTCTTCCAAAAGAAGGATCTCAGTGGTGCTATTTGTCTGGCAGTTCCCTGAAGATGTAAAATTCAATCATTATAAAAGAGATGCAAGATGGATGCAAGTTGTAACAAGTGGCATCATAAACAACCTGACAATGCATTAACTACATTTGCTGTTTTTTTAAGAAATATTCATTTCAAAAACTCATTTGTGTATATTTCACATGTGTATAAACCATTACCAGTGCTGGGTGAGTGGAAGGAGTATTCCAGTAGGTTATGATTTTATCCAACAGTTAAAAAAATCTCTTTCTTTACAGGAACTTTATTTTCCATTCTGATTTTTCTCTTTGTAATGTGGAAGGAGTTTGCTGCAGATTTGGAAAAATACATCTTGTCGGAGAGAAGTGGCAGCTGTAAGGATGTATTAGTGTATGTACAGTACGGTTGGTCTTTCATGTTTGCTGCAGTTGGGATTCCTCTGGTTTTACTTTCTGGTCTCTTATTTTATGTGATTGGCCGCACCATCGAAGCACATAACAAATAAAAGGCACATTATGGCTCCAAGCATCGGATTCTTGAAACAAAATCTATGGTGATATACTCCACATGGTCACTGTGATATAAAAAAGCAAACAAAAGTGCCTCATACATTTCCACCTTGTTGAGATTAACCAAGCGATACTTATTTTTACACTACTACGTACACACCGTAAAATATAAAATAGCTCAAGTCCCAAAATCAGTTGAGAAAATGTATTTGGTTTAAAATTATATATCATTTGAGTTATATATCATGTGAATTAACGTTGAAAACCGTATATATGTTTGACCTTTTGTTTCTCTTGAGGGCATTTTATGTTTCTGTAAAATAAAAGCTGTTAGCAATGCATTCAGTCCAAAATGATGTTCCACCATAATAAAATGTTATCCATGGCATATAGCTTACTTTTCCATCCACTGGACACACTACATAATTTTCTCATTGGCACATCTTTATTTCACTAAAGTGATGTCAACTCTTATCATTGATACTTTTTCTTTCATGTGAAGTAAAACTTTTACGGTGCAGTGATGGTTGGATTACATTAAAATATTGTGACATGCTGCAACAGTAGTGTTTTCATTGGGAATATTCATGTGGCAGCAGTCAGTGAGAACACATTTTTGCATTAAACTTAGAGATGGAATAATAATAATCCTATAATAATCCTTCCATTTGATATAGCACTTTATCACATTGTTGAGATGTCTTGAAGCGCTGCCCAGAAAATCCTGTAAAGTGAATGATTTACTTAGTGCTAAAACTAATGGCTGATAGAGCTCGGGATCCCTGAAGATTGGTTTACCATATGTGCACTGAAACCTTCCTCACAGCGCAGTGTTGCAAACATTAAAAATGCAATGTTTCACAATAATTATTGTATCAAATGTTGCATTTTTCATCCCAATCGTTTACAAACACATAGACACTGAGTAGTTATTTGTTGTATTCTAAGCATTTACAAAATATTATCTTTTACAATATAGACAATTTTGTAAACAATAATATGTAACATTTTAAAATCATGACAATCAGTGCTTGCTCCTCAGTTCGAAATGTCTAATGTTGTTGCAATTCTAATTATAATGGCAACAAGGAGTATATTCACTATTACTAACCGCAGTATATGTTAAAGTCTAATCTGCCAGTTCATGTCTATTTAACATAAACTACTGGATTATTGAAAATCATCATTTTGTAACATTTTTGAAAATGTATCAAAATGTTATTGCAATTAAAAATGTTTGGAAAATCCTAAAAGTAAATAAATTAGGAAATTTGAGACAATATAACAAATAATCAATCACCTGTGAATTATCTTCCAGGTAATGGAGCGAAAGACATTTTAGGACGATTTTAGGCAAAAGAAAATCTGCCAGCATCTTCTTCAGTATTATCTGCCAAAATATCTGGTGGACGAGAATAAATTCAACTAATAGAGAATAAAGACATAGAATCATATACACTAATAGCATATTATCACCTTAATGCATTAATTTCTTCAAATTCTTATTATCTAAAATAAAAGCCCCGATTGAAGCAGAAATGATCAAGGTATTTAAGAGAAAACCTGATGCATAAATAGGAGACAGGGGAATAGAGGGGGTTTGGGGGGGAAGGCTCATGTGGAGTATAAACTTTAGCACAAACTAGTTGGGCTGACTGGCCTGTTGTGGTGCTGTAGATTCTACATAATTTGTGCCTTAATCCTTAGTTAGAGACATGTGGTGATTCTGTCAGTAACACTTATTGTAAAACTGGGTGAAAAGTGTTGGGAACAATTCCAATGAGGCAGCTAGATACAATAATTAGGCAGAGAAGGTAGGTGCGGGCCAGGAGGTCAGTAATATTAGGGACCACAGTGCCTCCCCCATATATTACGGGGAGCTATTGCTCACCAGCAAAAGGACGAGACATTGTTCAATAATGTTAAAAATGTAGAAAAAGTAAAAGAGACAAAAGAAACTGGCTGATAAGAACCAGAGATGTATTATAGACCCAAACCATCCTATCCACGCTAGTCTTTCAACTATTTTCCTTGTTAACCCTGCATGGGATGGGAAGTTTGAAGTTGGCATTTCCTTCACAGACTCTGAAAAGTTACTCACCATTTTGTGTCGTGTACAGAGTAGGACACTTTGTTTTCTTGATCAGAGAAAAAACATGGTAGTCAGTCAGCTGAGAGTCCAGCTTTCACCCTGGTGTTGTGGATCCTGTTGCCTACAGAGGTAGGAAGATACAGTTAATGTCAAAAGATAACTGCCCTTACAGCCAATGGCATCCTCATATCTACAGTTGCTGAAAATACCAGCCACTATGGATACAAAAGAACCCTGCATTTAGAACTTATTTGAATCTTATTTTTCATATGGAACTCATTCTATGGGCTCTGCAAATTATTTAAAATTTATGCACCAAGTGATGATCCATAACTTTTATCTTTCCTACAAGTCACTCGGGCATTGCTGTTAACGTTATATATTGTATACAGTTATTGCATAGAAGTCAGATTAAATATGAAACATCAAGTGAGCCACAAATGACAAGAGTCTAATTTGTCATTTTCAGGAATTTTTTGTGTCAAGTGTTTTAATCACTTGGTTGTGAAACTCATTTAACAATGGTAGTAAAATCTTCCTAGAAATAGACTGTTGAAAAATTTCCTTTCCTCGGCTTTCATTGCACACATATGTTCTTTGTCAATTTAAAGTTGCAGAGCACGCTACTGTGCCAAATTATACAAGCTAACGCACACTGCAATGATTTGGCATGGCGTTACTGGGCCATACAATAAGGCTCCGTATGATTGATCCAGACATCTCAATCTTTGGTTCAGGATTCCAAACATGCACTCAACAGCTGACCTTGTTATAGTGTATGCCTGGTCGCAATTACACTCCTTTTCATTTCATAGATTTTCTACAGTCATGTTGAACCAAGGTTTCAAACTTGGTCGACCAAAAGCCATCCATGCAGATAGTTAGCCTGTTCATATAATATAGGTTCACGTGAGTTATGCAGAAAGAAGGAATCGTATCTAGATTCAAGGTATTTTGCAGTGACCAGCATTACAATATTCCATACATTATGGATTACCTCCTTATTCAGGTAGTGGAACCTTACAATTGATGCAGACAATTGCAATTTCAGACAATATCTAGGTCTTGATAGGTGTAGAATCAAGGCCACTGTGAATGCTTGGACATTCTGTTCCTGCAAACAATTTTTGCTGCTGTGACAACTGTTGATCCTTTGTTTTGGAAAAGTAAATGAAGCACAAATAATGGAAGCTTCAATCACATTCTGTATTTAATTTAACACTCTTCTTTAATCAATGGCAGGCTATGCTAGGAGTTTGGAAGAACCCTGCAGCAGAAAAGAAAGCTTAAAGGCAGTTTTAAATTTCACTCCGTAGATAGAGCAGTGAGATTCACAGATAGGGTTTCCAAATCTGGTTAAATCAGCATATGTATCTCATTGTTGACTTCCTGTTTGATCTAAACCTCCTCACACACTACTCTTTAGTTACACCAAGGTAATTCATCCCATGGTTTATAAATTGTTCACCTGAATAAGTAACTTGCTGAATCAGCATCCTTTTGTCTCTCCATCCTTTGATTCATTTTATGTTCCTTTTGTTCTTTCTCAAAACAAACAGTGATTTCAGATGGCAAATCAAATTTAGCAAAGCATCGGAAAAAAATTGTGCCAAGCTTAAAATCTGCCTCATTATAATTGGTTACCTTGGTGGTTTAACACTGTGCAGAAAACAATTTCTGCTCAAAGATAAGGCGAGAGACATGGATTGCTGGATAATTAGCCAAACACAATTTCAACCTAAATCTAATTTTCTGCCTGATGGAATTCAGGCAGCTACATTGCCAATAGCTGGAAGGTGGGTTATGTAGACCTTTTAAAACTGCACAGTTCAGTTTGTGGTTTAGCCTGTGCTCATAAATTGGCAATCTTTTTGTTAGTGTCTTATGAGGGGATTTCCCATTATGAAATTTATATGATAGATTCAGCGATGTATGTATTTAAAATTAATAGACAAACAATAAAACGTTCAAGTTGTGTTGAAATCTTTATGACAAATAGTTTTGCTCTGAATGTGGCATAGTTTTCACCAATAAGATTCTTAATCTTCACAATCACAAGATGAAAATATCTGCGCACTCAACTTAAACATTGCTTTATAGATATTATCGGTGGTCAATTAATTAATTAATTAATATAGAGAACATCCTGTGCATCCAGGGCCATGAAATGTAACCAACTATCGCAATAGGCACTGAAGAATAATGCTGAGGCATTAAAAGAACAGGAAGATGGTATCTTAGATTTTAACGTGTGGTCACCTCTCTCTTTCCCTACCAAAGAGATCAAGTAGCAGAATAAAGTCACTAGACAAAAAGAGAGATTTGGATAAAAAGGGTCTTTCAGCCAATTTGTTTCCTTAGGCTTTGACCAATACAAATCATACCATCTTCTCATGATAGTTTTACCCCCTGAGTCAAGTGTACAAGTTTCACCTGTACTCCTGATAACCTGTTCCAGCTGTTGATTCTTTTTTGTGTGAAGAAATATTTGTCGGTGTCTTCCTTAAACTTGCTCTTCAGAACCCCAAATCTTTGCCCTCTTGCTTATGGTAGGTCAAATTGTAGGTTGTTTGGAGAGGAACATAGGTTTATGTAGGTCAAATGGCTCATTTCTCTATTCTCCTCTGCACTCGGGAATTCCTCCTCTTTGAAGATCCTCCTGAAGTCAGAAATACAGTCCTGATGCTCCTTTTTTGCCAAATTCAATACTGAAGCACTTTTATTCCTTTTTAAACAAAGGGACTTTTCAGGACACATCAACCTATAATCACAGTCCCTCCTCTGGACTAATGGTGGTGACTAATGGCACCTACAACAATAGCATTACAAGCCTGTTAAGGTAGCAGATAAACAGTTGAAAAGGGGATATATAACAGCGTCACACTCACACTTCTATTTGCTTCAATAGAACATGAGAGGGTCTACTTAGCAGACCCAGGGTAGGGCTAGTCAAGGAATGCATAACATGATTCTGTCTCAATGATAAAATCAGGCGATAGTTTCATTGCCCACCATCATTGTCGGAATTATCTTAATTGGTACTGTCAGGGTAATAGAAAAATACATAACACTGCTTAATGTAGCATCACAGTAATGTATTCTGAGTGGCTATCATCAATGGTATTATAGAGAGAGCATAAATAGTTATGCAGTAGTTATCACTCAGCATACAAGTTTTTGCTGGTATATATGTTTTACGATTTATTAAAAACAAATCACCCTACACCACTCCTCCCAAGATGGTGCAGGAGACACCGCAATGCAATCTCAACATGTTCAGCACAAGGTTATAGAAATCATTTTATGTAACAATAATAATAATCCTTGCATTTGATATAGTGCCTTATCACATATTCTAGACAGAAGACGTCAGCCTGCATGGCTCATTTCTCTGTTCTCCTCTGTCCTCGGGAATTTCTCCTCTTTGAAGATCACATATACTGTAAAGTGGATTGATTGTGTGTTTCAT